CTCTCTCTCTCTCTCGCTTTCTCTCCCTTTCCCCCTCTTTCTCTCCTTCAGTCTTTCTTTCTCTCGCTCTCTATCTCTCTCCACACACGCACACACACACACACACGCGCACGCACACACATACAAACTGTCTCCGGCACACAGCAGCCTAGTTCGTCTCTCTGGCACAGCTCCACGGCTCATGTTCCGACCAGTTCGATAAGACCATCAGATTATGAAGGTAGCGGGTAAAAATACGTGTAGATCTAGTTATAAAGCGCATAGAGCATGCTGTAGAGCATGAGTATGCACTATGTATAAAAAGTATTTTTTAAAAATAATTTCGATTGGTACAAGGATTTTCAACTTTCTCCAGATCACGGTACATTTTTGTCTGATATCTTGTATGCACTGAACTTTTTCGTGGCCAGACTAGAAATAAATGAATGTCATGTAATTGCTTTTATCTGTCCCCGTGGTTTTATGCACCCCGCATAATTTAGCAAAATTTGATCAGTTTTTCGCATAATTTCTTATTATTTTCCTTCATCACTCTTTGTTGAAACTAACAGAATCGCATAATTTCACATTTTTGGGCTCAGTTTTAGTTAAGTTTTTGTAGAGATTTTACGGCACTCGCAACTGCATAAGGTCATATGAGCGCCCGAAGATCAGAGGTGTTACTATAATACTAGAGAGTAACAAACATAAAAAAGAAAAAGGGGAGATAAGGACGATAGATGTTTGATAGGAAAGAAGGGGCAAACCACACCAGAGCACCCGCCAACCACCCACTGGGTTCATTTTGCTCAATTTAATTAATTAATTTATTTTATTTTTTTTTTGGGGGGGGGGGCATATAACCACGGGGACAGTTTTATTACTTCTGCGAGCCATGTATCCGACAACAGGGAGAAAGGGATCTACACTAGGCACTGGGCAAATATTTAGTGAAAATACAATCATGCCCTCCCAATTTCCTTGATAACTTAACTTTACCAGTAGAATCTATGTCAATTTACTCGCAACTGGTACGTCGAGACCCAAAAAACGGACCAGACCTTTATTATACTTGTATGTAGTAAAATACGTCGTGAACCATTTTTGGGTCACACTTGTTTTAGAGGAAAAAATTGTCCCTGTTAATCTGTGAGCTTTTAATAATAATCAAGCTTGAAATTATCCTCAACAACATATATGCTTATTTGCTAAAATCAGGAATCAGGGTAAAAGTCTTTAAACTATTTATTCGGAATTTATTTAATTTACTTCGCACATCCGGGTTGTCCACGTGTAAGCATTCATATTATTGTACGTGTAGTTGTGGGATACTTTAAAAAAAATTATATAAATTGATATATATTATTGTATTTCAGAATGACCACGGCGTGTGCAGAAGCCGACTGACCATCAGCATGTGTCCGGACACATGTGGCGTGTGCTCCTCTGTCAACAGCACCGCCTGTGTTGACGTCACAGACTGCCAGAACCTCATCCAGGTGAGATGTTTTCAGCACACCTTTCCCTTTTCCTTCCTACCCACCCCCCTACACACACACACACCCCACAGACACCCTATGATGATACTTGCAATGTTATCAGCAGGTAACTGTTTTACTGTTTCCCACCGAGGGCGACAGTGGTGACACTACAAGTTGTACAACAACTATATCGTCTGGGCAAGTGGTTGAAGGACGCCACAGGTAGGAGAACTTGCTCCCTTACTTTCCCTCGGATATTTCGGTCTGGTTTTAATTAAGGGATAGAGACAGTAAGTCTCCACCAACGTACAGTCTAGCACACACATAGTGAACCGAAACAGATTTTCAGGCCCCCAATTTTTTTACTCATAGCGAGATTTGAACATAACGGAACGATTTCCACATCCCGCCGATTTCGCTATGTGCATGCTTGACTGAAATTACAAATATATTTATTTGTAATAAATAAAGACCATTAATACATCATGTATGACTATGACGTCTACTTCCTGGTGACTCTGGGCGGTTCACAAGGCAAAATTTCAGCAACTCACACAGACACATTTCATACATACCGGTCGGCCTAGAGAAGGCCAAGCGGTCGACCTATTCATTGAAGATACAACAACTACGCACCCGTGATATAAATTTGAAAAAAAAAAAGAACACTTACACAAAATGACAACCACTGTGGCTGCAGACGATCACGTTCACACAATTTGTTGGAAGCAGGCTACAATAGAATAAAACATCTGATTCCTAATCCCATTCCTTGTATTCCAGAACGACCCAGACTATTGCAAAAGCCAGAATGCAGTCTTACAGTGCTCCAAAGCCTGCAACCTTTGTGAAAAGCTCATAGACTCGATCCTCCTGAGCATCCTCCAGACGAACACAGGTGACACATTGAACTTAAAATCTTCTTCTTCTTCTATCCCGTGGGGGCATCACTGTATCTGACTGTCCCCGTGGTTTTATGCACCCAGCATAATTTAGTAAAATTTGATCATTTGTTTGCATATTTTCTGACTATTTTCCTTCGCCATTCTTTGTTGAAATTAACAGAATCGCATAATTTAACATTTTTGGGCTCATTTTGCATAATTTCTGAATTTTTCTTGCATAAAACGACGGGGACAGATCTGAAAACCAGCTCTCGCCATTTCTCTTTGCCCTCTGCGTCCCTCAGATTGTCACCCATCGTCTTCCCTGTCCACTCTGTGATGTTGTCCTCAGATCTCCTCTGCCCTCCTGTCTTTCTCTTTCCTTGTACGGTTGGCTTGTAGGATTGTTTTGGCAAGTTCTGTGAATCTTGGGACATGCCCATACCGTTTTAAATTTTAATTTTCTCTTCACTGTGGTCAGTAGATCTTCATGCTGCCCCACTGCGTTTGTGATTCTGTTCCGTACCTCAGCATTTGAAAAGTGGTCTTCGTAAGAGATGTCAGTTTCCACGACTCACAGGCCCATAAAAATATTGAGATGACCAGTGAGCGCATTAGTCGGATCTTTGAGTTGAGCGTGATGTTTCTGTCCTTCCATTTTGACAGCGCAGCTGTTGTTTGCGCGATTCTGGAGAGAATTTCTGGTCTTGAGCCTTCATCTGAGACGAAACTTAAAATAGTTAAAGTTGAAACCCATAAAGTGAAAATACATGTAGATCTAGTATATTAGTACTTAATGTACACGCTGCAAGCTTCTACAAATATTAGAACGGATGTTTGGCCATTTAAAAAATGTTATATCCTGTTTCAACAACTTACCTTGCATGCGCCGAGACCCACGATTTGACTACACGTACACGAATTTTTACTCGATTATTGTTTTGACGACTTTCTCTCCCTGTTCTCCGTGTCAGAGGGATAACAATGGATCATTAAAATTTTAATGCGTGTCTGTACACGTGAGGATGATGTTTTACGGCACTCGCAAGTGCATCTATGTGGGAGACACCAAACATTTTCAGTTGGTAGGTAATTTTTTAATTTTGCCCGGGTGGCGTCCGAAGCTACCGGTACTCTTATCGATTATAGACCACCAAGGGACCTTTAACGTGCGCAATTTGCACACGGGACCTCTGAGATTTTTCACTCTTGTCTGGGAAGTCTAGGTGTAGATCTTACCAACCATAAGGTCAGGGGTGTGGCTGAAAGACAGTAGTAAGAAAGAGCCAGGGAGAAGCAGTAGAAAGGCTGCAGACAGAGTCAGGAGCCCAGAGGAGGGGGCAAAGGAGAGGAGGGGGTGGGGGCAGAAAGTGGAGATGAAAGCAGACGACAGAACATTGCTAGAGAGCAGGAAAGGGTATGACAGAAGAAAATTTTAGAGAAGAACATTTTGCGTCGCTATTCGGATACGAACCCGGGACCATTGAATGAGAGGCGAACACCTTAACCCATATGCCACGATAGCCCCCCCCCCCCCCCCTCTCCCATGTTGGAGAGATGGGTGTGAATCACATTGTGTCAGTGTCAAAGCAAAAGCCTACACCATTTACAATGCACATTACATGTGAGAGGGATGGGTGTAAATCCTACTGTGTAGGTTTAACGCCCATTGCACCATCATCGTATATTTACAGACATATTGTGTGTGTGTGTGTGTGGTTTTTTGTGTGGGTTTAAAAAAATTGTAGTTGGGTTTTACGGCGCTCGCAACAGCATAAGGTCATATGAGCGCCAAGGGGTGGGTATCGACAGAGAAGTCTTTACAGGGAATCAGACTTAGACTGCTCATATCTCTAGCTTCAACAGCACAAGGTCTGCTTCGACTATCAAGGCACCCCGGAAATAGCAGGTCATAAGAGAGTGACAAACATACAAAAAAAAGTAAAGGAAAACGACAATAGTAAGGATCAGGAAAGAAAAAGCAGCAGTTCCCTGTTGTAGATCAGGCACAGTTATGAGCGTGACATGAGTCAGCCCATTTACAATTCTATGTTTGAACGAGAAATGTCCCCCCTTTGGGAATGGCCTAAAGACACTACAGTCAGTGGCACTGCCCAGACATATTGTGTGCATGTGTTCTTGAGGGATGGGTGTGAACACCATGGTATGTCTGCAACACATGTACATGTAAGCGGTGAGAGATGGTACAAACAACTTTAGCTGTTAAAGTGGAAGTAAGTATCACAGCGCTGCAACACAATTAAAGGTCAACGAGGCCAAAGATTAGGCGTTACCAGAGAGAAACATGCAAAGAAAAGAGGGGGGGGGGGGGGGGGTGGGGAATAAAAGATGATGAATTTTAACAACAAAGGAGCATGAAAAAGATCCTGAAGAAGTGTTTTCTGCCCGTTCTGGAATTAAATGTATTTAAGCAGAGTCCCGAGCGTCCACGTGACACCTGTGTATCTAGGTACATGTACTACATGCACGTTCTCCGCAACACCTAAACATCCCCTCAACAAATTCTATAGCTAATAGCAGCAGTGAAAAGGTAATGAATTTGTAAGTGGCAGCCATGTTCAGAGGATCTAATGACCTTTTGACTGGAGGCATTCACGTACACGCACATTTATATCACATGACCCCCAGCCTCGTGACAATAAAAGTAATAGCATATAATATACGGTACAGTGCATATATCCACCTCCTACAACATGCTCTATGCGCTTCACAACCATTATTACCCCAGCAGACCCAAGAACGCACTCATTTATACATCTTCTGCTTCCCGGGAAGCATACAGTGCAAGCTATGGATTTCGCGTATTTAAACACAAACAAACTGACAAGATCTTTCACTCTATAGCCAGATACCCATTCCCACCTGGATGAAGTGAGAAAAACTAACAGTACAGTAAAGTGCCTTTCTCAAGGACGTGACGAGATTTGAACCCACGGCCTTAGCCTACGAGTCCGAGGGCCTAACCACTAGGTCACCGATGCCACAATGATGGTGAATATTATCTCAAGCAGTCTTGAGTGTTTTACTTTAGTTTTAGTATGTTTTACAGCACTTGCAACACAATAAGGGCATTTAAGTACCAGAGATTAGGTGTTACAAGAGAGTAACAGGCAAAAAAAGGAGGAGAGATTTATATAAGGATGATAGATATTTGATAGGAAAGAAGCAAACCACACCAGAGCACCCGCCAATCACCCAGTCCTGAGTGTATAAGCTATAAATATGACATCCAACTTATTGCACTGTATCATATATGTACCAGTGTTTATGTGTAGAAAGGTTAAAAACCCTTCACTTTCACCCCAGGAACCAATCAACCAGCAGCTATGACCACGCCCACATCAGCTGTGAACTGTGAGGACTTGAACAACGTCACCTGTGACCACCTGGCCCCTATGTGTATCCAGACTTTCCTCAACGTTCTTTGTCCAGACCGGTGCAATGCCTGCTTCTAGCACAAGAACAACTCAACGGCAGGATCATGATTCCATTTCTTACTCCCTAGGAATCCATGCATTGTTGCTTTAAACATTTCAAGAGTGAAATCTAAAAAAGCTCAGGATGGTGGGGTGGGGAGGGAGGAGAAATAAAGCCTGCTTCTGCTCAAAAACAGCTGAATGACATGATTATAATACATGTATTTCATCTTTTGACTTTTCTCCCTTGCATTATTCATGGACCTGCATGGCACCCGATACAATAGAAATAAAAAAATAGGGAGAGGACAGTTTATAATTTGCCATTACCGGCACATGTAAGTTTAGTTTTAATAAGTGTTTTTCCGCACTTGCAACACAATAAGGTCATATAAGTGCCGAAAATTAGGTGTTACAAGAGAGTAACACAAAAAAAGGAGCAGAGATAATTTTAGTTTTAGTAGAGGTTTTACGGTGCTCGCAACTGCATAAGGTCATATGAGCGCCAGAAGATTAGAGGTGTTACAAGAGAGTAACAAACATTAAAAAAGAAGAAGGGGAGATAAGGACGATAGATGTTTGATAGGAAAGAAGAAGCAAACCACACTAGAGCACCCGCTAACCACCCATGATACATGTAAGTAATAGTTTTCCAATGGCGTTTTATCATTTCAGCTGGAAACACTTCTTTACACTTTTCAGAGACCCGATATTGACAAATCATAAACAGTACCGTACCGGTACACAGTAAATATAAATGACAAACAAAAACATTTATAAATTTTGTTTTTTTATTCGTTACATAAGTTCATCCAAAATGACAAAGACACGTTTAACAAATATCATGAGTAGCAGAACATGGGTCAGCAAAAATGGCAGTTGGAATTTTTTTGTTTATATCACAAAAATACGAAGAAGACGCTAAGAAAATTGTAGCAAGTCATAGAGAAGTCCAAACTACCCACGCTAAACTTTTCCAGTCTTGAGGAGGGGAGGGAGAGAAAACTTAGCTGCTCTTCATGACACAAAAATTTGTAGGCATTACAAACAGATGATATATGTACAATGAGCCCACAAACGTACACCCGAACATATTTTCAAGTATGAGCTATGTGCAGTGAAGAATTTTAGACAATTTCATACAACTACAATCAAATTGAGAGACACCAATTTTTAATTCATGGACTCAATTATTTCTCACTATCACCTTTCCTGTGCTATTGATGGACACAATACAATTAATGTATCTCTCAAACATCACCAAATGAAAATTTTAAAGTTTAAATGATTTGAAAAAGTGACATTCCCACAAAGGGGAAGTTAGTGTCAGTTCTGATGTAATTTTAGTAGGCCTACCTGACAGTATCAATGTTGAGGGAATTTGAAAAAGAAAGATGAAAGGCTGAGTTAATTGTGTAGTAAGCAATTGGGAACCAGCATCCTCAAAGTTTTCTTGTTCACATGAGATACAGGTCAACCAGTATATTCAAGATTTACAAGTTTTCTCCAACAAAACAGAAGATCTCATACTTTCAGACGAAATCTGATTGCAGCCAAGCAAATTCAATGACACGACACTTTTAAATCCAATTGTGACCATAGACTAAAATGTGTGGACAATGACTTTCCTTTTCGCATCGTGGCTGAACCGGTTCGCTCGGAAAATATCACTGTCGTAGAACGTGGTCAAGCTGTGAATGTTGATCTGGCGAGCCTGCAACACAAGAAAAACCATTTCTGTTAAATCCATCCAGTCAGGGTAAACATGAAATACACATAGAATCTTACACCAAAGAACCAAACACTTGGGGTATATTATTGAATTCCCATCCACTGTAAAAGGATTTAGCCGTTTTCTTACAGCCTTACTGGCAACAGCAGAAAAGCACAAACCATACTATCACAACATATAAATATATCATGAATGACAAACTTTCACTTTTAGAGGGGATTCAGTAGATCTTTCCAGCACACAATGAAATACTAGAAGAAAAAGCCTGTGGGCACATTCAATCAATTGTCTCCTTTAGAGTACATATATTATATGTGTTGATAGCAACAGAGTTCGACTTCCACTCTGCTGGAGTTGTTTTTCAAGAGAAAGACTGGAGAAATGAGAATTGTGGGGTGGGAGGGACCTATTTCTACACAAAAGTGCAACAAGTTTTCTTTGTCCTTTCAATTTAGAGCTTCGTGGGGAACAAGGGCCTCTGTTCATTTAATTTGAATTTGAATAATTATTGTTCAATTTCTGTTTGTAGGTTAAGAAAACAATTAAAATGATTATCCCAAGCCACAGACAATTTTTTTGACATTCCCCTATTGCTGTTGCAATAAAATTTTCCTAGTGGCACTGCAATCACCATGAAATACCTTTGCCATAGCAATAAAGAAGCATAATGTATAACAACATACAGTGGAATCTGTTTAAACTGAACACATAAATTTGAAAACAGCAGCACACCAAAGAAAATAAAACTCTCCATTTTTTTCTCTGACTTGAGCTACCCATCTAAACCAAAAAAATTATGTAGTTCCATATATTTCTGTTTATGTGGACGCCACTATAAATGCGGAACGTATGACATACCTTATCAGCCAGATCCTTTTCGGACACCTCGATCTGCTCCAGGTCTGTGCCAAATCTGTTCCTGTGGTAGGCCATCTGGTCCTGGGACAACTGTCTCAGGATGAACAGCAGCAGTTCATTGTTGTCTTTACGGAAGGACAAGTACCGGCCAAACGTCTGCAGAATTTAAAAAAAAAAAAAAAAGCCAACATTAAGAACTGATAAATAAAGTATACTTCTACACATAAGTGAAAAGTCACTTCATAAATACAAACCAGACACACTTTTCAAACAGTAAACATCTTATAAGGACAGAACCACTTCCCATTTCAACATTAAATAGAAGCAGTACCTTCAACATGGATATCCGACCACTTTTTGTTAATATATATAAATATACAGTGGCGTCTGCATGAACTGAGCATGGTTATTCCAAAACCAGTAAAGAAAAAGAAAAGAAAATTCCTGCTATTTTTGCTTCCTGTCTGAAGCAACCAGACCAGCATGTGAGCCCCAACCAGATTGTCTGAAAATTTTGCGCAACCATAAGAGCTTTTGTGGGTGTCATAAGGAAAGACTTCCGAGGAACGAGCAACCAACCCAACAAACACAATAAAGAAGAGACCTAACCCTACGCCTACCTAAAAAAAGAACCTGCAACGGGCCTCATGTAAAAAGGCCAGCACAAGTCCAAAATGAAATTTTTTTAAAAAACCACACTCCAAAACAAACAAGGAGCATAATATGGCCTATATTCTACATTTATATTGCTATAATAGGGTTTGATGCAACAACACAATAGAATTGGAATATGAATCCTCCATATAGATCTAGTAATCTAAATAAATCTAGATATAGATCTTGTAGAACAAGTGAATAGGAATAGGCCTTGAACAAGATCTAGAAATTTGCATCTGATTCCGAACAGAGGGACTCAGCCGAGTCTAGATTCTAAATATAAATAATTCACGCACCTGATGAAATGCTTTTTACCAACATTAATATTACAGCACAACCTATGATAAGGTTTGACACAAAAGAATTGGAACATGAATCCTCCATTGAGGTCTATAATGATCTATATAAATCTAGATCTAGATTCTATTAGAACAAGTGAGCTGGACTTGAATGAATCCACACGATATGAATAATTGAATTAGTCAACAAATGAAATTCAAAATGGCCGCTCGCGCACGAAACTGAAAGTAGACAATTTAGGTCGTCGCCCTTTTTCGTATTCGCATTTCTACTCAGGTTCCGACAATTATGTCGGAAACGCCGACGTCGGCACGAAAACGAAAGTGCCAACAAAGCCGACAGGAGAAAAAGGGGGCGTTGGCAGTTGGCCATGCCTCGCACTACGCACATTGATTGATACAGGTGGGCCTAGCGATAGCATCGGCCCGCTCGCGGGTCGGATCGCGAATGTCAGCAAACATGCAGGTCTAAGCAACCTTCACTGAACAAAATCAAGCATTCCACAGATTTTGGTTTAATCAGACTCCACTGGAAATGTACATACACACATATCTTAGCAATGACAATGAAAAAATAAATTTTCATCCAAATTGCTTAAATGAAAAGAGTAAATTCTAAGAACTATGGTTTTTTAATTTTTAAAATCCATCGATAATAAAAAAGTTATGGGGATTTTTGTTTGCAAAATGTTGGAAGACCATATAGGAAAATATCGCCAAAATGTAGGACATGTCGATGTATTTTGAGGAAAACTGTTCATAAGTCAGTAATGAATTGGAGCATATGAATGAAACTTGGCATCTTCATGTGATTTTTAGTGCAGAATCTAGTTCTGCTATCACTTTTTTGATGTCTTTATTACTTTGGATCTTAAAGACTGATATTTGAGTGAAATTTGTTGAATTGCGTGACGTTTTTACCACGACGTGATCACCCCTGCTAAAACTCAGTAAAGCGCTATCGGGAAAACCCGCGATGAAGTCATCGGCAACCTGTTTAGTTATAGGCAGCCAATCACATGCCGCCTAGAAATCACGCGCCTCTTGCATGCCGGCACTTTGCGTTTGGAATGCGTGATCTAGTTTCCAGCTCTAGTGTTTTATCAATGGATGGGTGGTAATTTTAAGTTGGTACGTAAAATGTACTGAACGCAGAGATCTGAAATTTTAGAACAATGAAGAAGACATGCGGGGTGCCTGTGTGGTCAGCGGTCAACCCGCAGCCCCGCTTAGTTTTCGAACCACAGAGGAAATTCGCAAAAACATGTTAATATCTCCGGGTTTAGAAAACGTTCGGGATTGTATGCTGGCATGTCGTTAGTTTAACCTTTCCTCTGATTGGTTGCCGAGTTTCATTAATTTTTGTCCACGAGTTTTCCCGTGACTATACTTAGAAGAGAGTAACTTCGGATTCCGAGCGGGCCAAAAATTACCCCTCCCACGGAGGCCGATTTCCGGCCCAAGGCGCAGCGGGCGATTGGCATTGCTACATATCTATCAGTTATTCACTGCAATTGAGCTACCCTGTAATTGGGAATAGCGAAAAGCAAAGATAGTTTTCGCCCCAGTAACCATGTTTGTGAAAACGTGGGAACGAACAGTTCTTCGGCACAAAAGGCAACCACCATACGTGTAAACTTAAAAAATCCTACATTTCAACAATCATCTATAACTTTGTGTGTGGTAATGGTCAGGCTCTCTTCACTGTCACACTCATTTTTGCTCTAAAGCCAACAAAACAATGTGCATATGATAGCCTTATCTCTGCTGAGTAACACAGTTTTTGAATTTTGACAATTCGTTTATAAATAAAAAAGTTATGATTTTTTTAATGAATTTTTTTGGGGGTGACTTTCATATAAGGAAAAAATCCCAAAACACGGTCCACATTTTTGGGTGTTTTGAGGCATTTTTTATCATAAATGCCGTAATAAACGGAATACATGAATGAAACTTGGCAGCCTATTGTAGTTTTTCCTGCAGAACCTATATCTATAAAGATATTTGATGTATCTGCAGTAGATTTTAAAATATCAGGGGAAATGTGTAAAAAAATTCATAGAAATTTTAGGCCAAGGACTTGCGGCCAACATTCAAACTCCTGCAACTTTCTTATTTTTTAAAAATATATCTACGAAACTTGGCTATCTTTTGTATTCTTTCCTGCAGATTCCAAATCTCCTGTTATTTTTTTTGTATGAAAGGCTCTTTTATCACTGTGAGCGAAAATGTTGAAAAGGTACCCTGGGTATGTTACTAAAATGGGATATCCATTAACTTTTCTTGCAATATTTTTGTGTATAATATACCAGGTGTGCTCTGTGTACAGGCACCAAAAACAGATAGTGAAAGAAAGCAAACAAACATCTGAAATGGAACAGAAGACAAGAGAAAGTGTACTGACCATGTTCGGTTCATTGGAATTTTTCAAATTTTGCTTGAACCTCCTTAGCATTTGAAATACACCAGATGCGCCCCCCCTCCCCAAGTACGTGGTTGTGGCTCCAGCTCGGTGTCCACAACGTTTTTTCTTTCAGAAGTTTACCCATCTCCGTACCGGTACAAAATTGGTAGAAAATACTAGTAATCATACATAAAAAAAGACCCCTCAGTCACCAATTCTTTAGATTTAATCTATATTTTGTTCCTTGCTAACGAGAAAGTCATTCTATGAATTTATGTAAGCTACTATAACCAAAGATACTACACCCTACGATGTACTATCTTTGCTATAACTATGTAGTATTATAATTCTTGTTCCTTGGCACGAAACTGACGAGTCCATGTAGATCTAGGTCGGGGGAATAACAGGATCGAGAGAACCGTCGACAACGCAAGAATGTGATCTCTCCTCCCCGATTTTTTTTGTATGCAGAAAGTCTTTTTATCATATCCAAAGCAAATAAATTTCATACAGGCTTAAAGATAAAGCCTAAAAAGTGCTTTTTAGCTTTTGGAAAGCCGAACTGGTGAACATGGTTTCCCCGTCTCTCTCGCGCAGTAGACGTTCCCCGACCTGTTTCTTTATGACGTCATGGAATTTTCCACTCAACGCCGGCTAGCCCGACCTACTCAGCGGAATGCCCGAATGCAGTCGAGTTTAGGTGGTGTTTTGCAATGGTACGCAAAAAGTATGCAACATACATTAATAAAATTTGAAGACAATAAAGGAAAAAGGTTGTCAACCAAGGTTGTGAAAAAAAAATCCAAAATTCCACCAAATCTGGTGTAGCCGAGTGCTCAAACTTCGGACACGAACAGCACCATAACCAAGTAACCTACGAGTTTTCTTTTTCGCACGTGACTAGTTTGACCTCTTTTCTCATTGGATACCAAGTTTCGCTTTCATCCATTGAGAAACAAGCCCGTACGAGTGAATGAAAATATGGCACCGTGAGAAACGGGTCCGGTAAAACAAGCCCGCAGCGCCTATACGGGAGTCTCCGATTTCTGTCACACTCATCGGCACTGCGTGGGCATTGCTACAGAAGATGCAAGTTCAATGCCCGGGTGGAGAAGTTTTTTCTTTCATAAATCCAGTACCTACCCATCTGCTGTATCCCCTCTAGCGCTGACTGTCTCAAAATGGTCTACTTTAAGGTATTGAATAAGCACCCCCCCCTATTTTCCAGCTTGCCACAACCGACGATCATGTAAAACATATCCAGAATCTAAATATCTGAATGAAACTTTTTTAAATGGCAAATTACCCTCAGTATTAGTATCAGTACAGAGTTGGCTGCCTCAATTTTCTGTGCATTTTCAAAACCTTTGTCCATTGGTTTATATTTTTTTTATGAAACAGGTTTGTTTCTAAATAGGAAAAGTTGTCACAGTAACTTACTAAAATTCATCATCTTTTGTTCTTTTATTCACTGAAGGAGAAATAAAACAGATTTGTTCCTACTAGTACACGTGTATGAGGTCGAATGTGCCACAACCCGATTTATCAATTTTAGACCACTTGTCCAACCCCCTCCTACCACCCCTTTTATTCGATAACGTAGAGTACTTTGTGTCAACGGGGGCTCAAAACATTCACAACTACATAACTTCACCACTAACCTTTCTCATTGTCCTCATCACACTGAACTTTTGTGTGCTGATGAAGCTCTCCAGCATGATGCGTATGGCCATGTTGACGTCGTCCTCATTCACGTAGTCTCGTAGATGGATCCTGGCGTGGGCCTCACTCATTCTGATCATGGACTCGATGTGTCGCACTGTGATGGGAATGCTTCCGGTGGCCTAGAAAGATTCAACAATAAAAGACAATGGATAAGTCAAATTCATCAGGGATACCACAGAATTTTACAGTTGCATTTGTGAACAAAAAAATAATTTAAAGACAACCAAACATGTGGTTAAACAGAAAAAAAAAAAATATTCTTGGAATAGTAGCTGTTTTAGAGACAGTAACAGAAAAAACAAAATAAGTTTCTTCATTAAAAAAAACAACCAAAACCCCACAAACAAATTGCTTTGAGCCAGCAGACACGTGCACTAAGAAACAATAGTTTCAGGAAAGTCAGCAAAGAAATAATCTGCATTTCCCAAGTGCATAACAATGTTTTAACTACTGGGAAGTAGTACATACATGGCATTCTGGCTGTGCTGATGAATGTGCAAAATATATTTACAAGTAGACAACAAGATTTCAATTTTTTAAATAAAGTCCTTTTGTCCAAGAAAGAGAACAAATAAGTCACCCCTCTAAATTGTTCTGATGCAACAACTGTCATTTATCAAAAGAAAAAAGAAAGATAGCATATAAAATTGGATCATGAACCCCCTTAATGCTGCCATAGAAAAAATTTTTTTTTGGGTTTGCATTAATTTTTTAATTTAAGGCCGCAATGGTCGCTTGTGGCCTTTGTCAGTATGGTGCCTCTCGTCACCAGGATGGTCCTTTCTTAGAGCACTTGGCGTACATAGTATTTGATGAAACACGGTAAAATAACTTACCATGGACTCCCTCCTGAGTTCTGAGTACATCTTGGCTACTTTATCCTGATCCATCTGATGAAGTTTTGGCCGAACTTTCTCCTTGGCGTACATGATGTACTTCTTCAGCAGATCTTGGGGAATTGGCTCCACCTTGAGGTCACCCATCTGGTTCTGTCAATGAGAAGGAGCCAAGTTGTAGTTCACAACAAGTCAAAACAATCGCAGAGGTAAATTCCAAGGAACTGTAGACAAATTGTTACGGTAAAATTTTAACAAGCTAGTTTCCAAAATGTTCACTTTCCGACGTTTCCCAGAACCACGAACAAATAAACACTTAACAAACCGAAATGATAAAGCAAGAAACATTTATGCCCAATATTTCAGAAGATTAATAACCATGGCCTCACCTCTGAGAGATTAGTCTCTTCTGTGTTGTGAGGGTGATGTTTCATGTGACTACCAACCACAAACTTGGCCAGACGTTCATCCTAGGGGGGGAAAAAAAAAGCAAAACATTTCTTTATAAATTACAAAATATGTGCAGTTGAAGCTGAAGAAACATGAATTCTGATGACATAAGAAACACCATCTTCGCAATTCAATATCAACCAGGATCCGTCCCTTTAATTCTTCAACAACAGCTTTTATATAACACGTTTTGAATTTAGAATTAAAAGCCAACATGAAAACAAAAAAGCATACCATAGAAACACTCAAGCTGTCTCGACAGTTGTAAAGAAAGAAAAAAGACAACATGCTGAACACATAATTTTTTTTTTTTAAACCTGGAGACTAGATACAGAGATCTATATCAGCGCTTCGTCACTACATCTATCAGGGAGCCTGCATTGAGAATGAGTCTGGCTTTCTTTCTCGTCAACGTCAAATAGCTTTTAGTACACAAATCACATGAACAGACCAGATCAGGCATAAAATGCCCTCCAAATCGAACATAAAATTACCTGGACCGAGTCTACAGTGTCTCGAACCACACACAGCACGTCAAATCTCGACAAAATTGGCTCTGTGAGATCAACCTGGAAAGGAAAATAATATCTTTGTGTTCACTGTTGGTTGTTTACATTGAGACAAGCTACTGAGGACACCTGTCAAGAGAGGAGATCCTTTATAATTGAACGACATAATTTAAATTGAGATCAATTATAATTAGAACACACACAATGAAAAATACTGTTTGTGTGTGCACTGATGCCTCATTTATATGCTACAAACTATTACCACAGGTGGCTGCCATCCTTTGCTGTCCACTAACCGCTAAAATATAACATGCCATTAATTAAACCGTTAACAACTATTCCAGGTTAAATTAGCATCAGCTGCTGATGAAGAAAGAGATGACAAAGTGACAAGGAAGCACCACAACCCGTTACTCTACCCTGGAAGAAGAAGAAGAAAAATTAAAACACTTAGTTTGGTAAGAGCTTTACAGTGCTTGTAACAACATAAATCTTACATTTTCTGAAAAAGTGAGAGATGGATCATATCGTCCACCTATGGGATTAGCTGCAGCAATCACAGTACACCTGGCCTGCAATGAGGTAACGATGCCAGCCTTGGACACGGAGATACTCTGTTGTTCCATGGCCTCGTGGATACTCGTCCGGTCCTGGTCATTCATCTGAAGAAAAAAAATATTAGCAGAAATATTAAATTTTTGTTGATATAAACAGTTAGCATCACAAGATAAGCATAATAAAGTTTCAACAATAATACACAATCAATTTTATATCTGATTGCGAAACAAAGTATGACAAAAGGTAAAGATAGCTACCACGAACAAAAGATAAAAAAAAGAAGAAAAGAAATAACAGTGGGTAAGAAAAAGAAAAAAGGCAACATAAAATAAATTTATAACTGAAGTTGAAATGATACCAATACCAACACTTGTGGACTTCAGCATCTGACAATGAGCCAGGATCACAGTTTTTTAAAACTCATTCGCTACGCCAAGCCGGGGCGGCGGCGCACCTCAAGTGCCGTCAGTACGCTAAGCCGCCCCTGGCGTCTCGAGAACCGACGGTCAGTTTTAGCTTGGTTTCTATTCCAATCCACATATCCATGTTAAAATAAAGGTCATAATATAATGTTGACTTCCGGGTCAAGCGTTTCCACCGAAAATCGGAAGTTTTGATTCAGTTTTGAAACACGATTTCGTAGTTTATTCAACTTTGTTTTATCGCGAAGCCCAAATTATAGCCCAGACACCAGTCTTAGTACTTTTACACAACAAAATGTATAATTATTTTGCTCACTAAAGAAATGTAAGACTCTTCTTTATAATATTGATACTATTGGACGCAAATTGCCGGTGCACTGTAATTGAGAAATCAATATTTTTGAGTGCTAGATCTAGGCCTTGATCTAAATAGTCAAAATATATTTTTCTCCCCAAAATCACTACTTTTTGGTGAAATTACTCAAAAAGTACCACTCAAGACATGTATAGGTTATTCCAAATGCAATTCTGAATAATTTCATACAAGATACCCAATATCGGACGTTATGATCCAAATGTACAAATATTATGGAATGTATGTAAATAACCGCACATTTTTCAATATTTTCCTGTTCTATATACAGTTATGGTTATTTTGATGTATAATTTGACTAGGTGCAAACATATTTTTTTAGTTTCACCTGAGATTATAAATTTTTATTTTCCAATTTTATCCGCATCCAATCACAATTGTGTTGCATAATCGCCTCTTACAGGAACCAAAGTTGAAATATACGTAAATAAATAATGCAGACGTATTCTACAAACCATACTGAAAATGATATATAATATGTTGATATTTATTTGAATTTATGGCCCCAAAGACCTGTGAACTGCGCACTAGCATGGGTCTCAACTCGCAATTCTAAAAAAGGAGGAACTTTTCGGGAGATCGCCACAGAAGCCCATTTTAGCCAAACACCCATTATTATACTGTTGAACCCTAGAATGCTGAAATAAAAACAATCAATTTATCAAAGCAAGGTTATTTCACACCAATTTGAGAGTTTGGGAGATAATTTCAAGTAAGAGTCATGTACCAAATATTTACCACCATGATTACGTGCAGAAAGTGGTGGTGCCTGGGGTCTTGTGCGACTTATTTATATTTTCCCTTCATCATACTCGCCTGTATAAACTATATAAAAAGGAATATTGCTTTGAGCCTAGAACCAGAATATCGACTGTCATGATTCATATCATATATATATATATAATAAACGAGAAAGACAAAAATTAATGCTCAAACTCAAAGTAGAGTAGAATAGACCAAGCAGACCTATTCAGGGTAAGAGGTGTAAGAACTGTGTGAAGGCAAGATGCAGTGATACTGAACATCTGCGAATCTTGAACAGAAAGCTAAAATATAGAGATCTAATTTACCGTCACCAATCCAATGAAACGCGAACACTTAGGCCTGAAAGTTCCATAACATTAACACGCTTACAAGTTATGACGGTTCCCAATTTCACACAAGGCCTGCACCAACGCACACTTTACTTTGCAGAGAGCTGTAGATCTAGTAGTAATCAAAATTCTAAACATTTAACATTTGCTTTCAGTTTCAGTTTGTCCTTTGGTGTAGCGTCCAGCCCTCCCCCTATCCCCGAGAGCGTCTTTAAAAAAAATCAATAATCTCCCCCATTCCTGAGTCCTGTACTTCGAAGCGCTCAGGTTCATTGACCGGTCACAATGGCGAGCCCGACAAGACACTTGTATAACTTTCTTTTCGGTTTTTTTCTTTCTTGGTTTTACTCCCACACGTGACAGCACGGTGACAAATGTTGATTTATTTTCATGGCGGCACCACGTTTGTAATGCCGAACCTGCATGTTACAATAAATGTTGCGTTATCAGACAATTACTGACAAACTTCTGGGTGGTAACAAAAGCAGATCTTGATTTTCCAGTCGAGCCTTGGTGACACAATTCCGCTTGCCGCCAAAGCCACCAGTTCGCGTGAAACGTACTCTCAGAGCCGAATTAATATCACAATCGCGACCGGCAGAAATGAACTTAACGACGTTATTGGATTTGGTTTTCAAATATTCGAGATTTTTATGTATTTTCCCGGGTCTCGGCGATTTTTTAAAAATTCCCGGGGCCTGGCAGTCACCCAGCTCCCAAAAACTCTCTTTCTGATTGGCCCGCCGCCGCAGTAGCTGACTTTAGCGGAGGAAATGGCGGTAGCGGAAATCCGCTAAATTATTTTTCTATTGAGACCCATGGCACTAGTCATCATCTCATTTCGCCCTCCCGAAAAGAATTCGTCCACAAGCCGAAAATAATACGTAGCGAATGAGTTAAAAATGTGACCGAGCACCTCCGTCTGCTGAGGTGTAGTATTCCTCTCGGCACAACATAGCCTCAGAACTATTTTGTCCAAAGTGTACTTAGGTAAAGAGGCACTTTGGACAAAATAGTTCTTAGGGGACGACAGGTTGGCTTTGACAGGCAGGGTCAAAGCAGCCAGCCTCTTAAAATTATCTATAAGGAAACAATTCAGTGTAAAACATCTACAGTATCTTTCCTCTGTGCAACTGACCTTATCAAACTCGTCGATGAGACACACCCCTTTGTCTGCCAGGACCAAAGCTCCTGCCTCCAGAGTCCACTCTTTGGAGATCGGGTTCCGCTGGACGTACGCCGTGAGACCGACAGCCGAGGCTCCCTGGCCAGTGGCAAACACAACACGCGGGGCAGTCTTCTCAACATACTTCAGGAATTGTGACTTGGCCGTGCCAGGATCTCCACACACAAGCACATTAATGTCTCCCCTCACCTGCACACCAACAAGACATTGAATAATAAACAAATATAAAGAAGAGTTATCAAGTCTGAAAATAAAAATTCTCACATTTCAGACACCAAAAAGACTGCTCAAACATTATAACAAGAACCCCCTGACAAAGGTCTTCGCAGGATCTACAACATCATCGCACAACTCTTTATCTTGTAGCAAAAGACAGAATTGCATAAGGGGGCGCGCGCGCGCTCACCCTGAAAGTCCCGATTCGGTTCAAAATTATGGATTTTAAGTTGTACGCATTTATAGCTACTTCAGCCTCTCTTACACCTATTTATATTTAAAAAAAAAACCTACAGCCTCCCCCCCCCCATGTTAGCCACCACCATTTCCCCATAAAGTCGCCAGTACACCGACATAGAAAATTACAATAAAATCCCAAAAATAAATACCCCCCAAACAACAAACAAGTAGCATTTGGCTTTTAAAAAATGGTTTTGCAGAATAAGAAATTGATAAAAGATAACGCAGAGAGTCAAAGAACAAACCTTGTGTTTTTGTCCTGGATTCTTGGACTCGCCACCAAACACAGCAAGTGCCAGGGCTCTCTTGATGTCCTCATGCCCATATATTGATGGCGCAACGCTGGCAAAAATCTGCGAGGGAAGAAAATTTACAAAGGAAATGAAAAACTACACTAGCAGCCTTATCTACACCCACAATTTAAAAAATTAAAAAAAAAATTTATTTGACGACATTCTCAACTGATGAGCAGAGGACTTGCCAAAGAGCTTTTTAGTAGTTTTAGTAGAGACTTTACGGCGCTCGCATCTGCATAAGGTCATATGAGCGCCAGAAGATTAGAGGCGTTACAAGAGAGTAACAAACATAAAAAAGAAGAAGGGGGGGGGAAGTATGATAACGAAACCGCTTACCGGAATTTTGTACTTAATTTTTCTGAATGGTGTGAATATCATAAGCTGCTTTTAAATGTGAAAAAACCCCCAAAAGAACTTGTCGTTGATTTTAGAACAAAGAAACTGCCCCTGCAGCCACTCAAAATGAAATGTGAAAACATCGAGCAAGTGTCAGACTATAAGTATTTGGGTGTTACAATAGACAACAAACTCAACTGGCGTGTCCACACTTCTCTCCTGCATAAAAAAGTGAACAAAAGACTATTTTTTCTTAGAAAGCTAAAGTATTTTAAAGTTGATAAAACATTGATGTCCATGTTCTACCATTCAACCATAGAAAGTATGATCAATTTTTGTATAACAGCATGGGCCGGGAACACAAGACAACAAGATAAAGAAAAATTAAATCGACTAATACGGAAAGCATGTACAATTTCAACATCTTCATTCCCGTACTTGGATGAATTGTACATAACAGCTTGCACTAACAAAATTAATTCCATCTTTTTAGACAACAAATATCCCATGTTCCCTCAAATAAAAACATCAGTCAGAAGTAAAAGACCCATGCTTCTGATCTGTAACAAAGAAAGATACAGAAGGTCATTTTTAACCATCATCTATCAAAATGCTTTGATCTTAACCATCTTGTTTAGTGTACTTACGATCTTAGAGCATGCATCAAAATAACATTGAGTGTGTATCTAGCCTGCGATTATTATTGTTTATATTGCTGCTCATTTACATTATGTATGTGATTGTAAGCCTACTTGTGTGTGCATGTGCGTGCACGTGTGTGTGTGTATACTCGTGGTGGAACACCAAACCAATGTGCCAGGATCTGGACAATAAAGATGCATCTTATCTTATCTATGTTTGACAGGAAAGAAAAAGCAAACCACACCAGGGCACCCGTCAACCACCCACTGACAAAGAGCTGACACTATTAGAGCATACCAAAACCAGAACTCAACACAATATTTGCAGATTTATTCAATAAAGAATAACTTAAGATTTTTAATAACAAAAAACATTGACTTTCAAATAACAATTTTCCATCATCTGTCAGTAACATATCCACCAAAACTGAAAGCCTTACCCGCTCCCCTATTCTTTCATCCTTCGAGAGAGTAACAATAGCCTTGATATCTTCATCAGTGAGTGCTGCTACTGCCATCTTGTCATCCTTCTTTGTGATGTGGTTAGCTTGAATAACTGTGGCGAACACTGGAAAACCATTTGCTGTGTTCAGGGACCCGTCGTAGTTGTTGTGGTAGATACCCGTGAGCTCCTGAATAAAGGGAGGAAAAAAAATATGTCAGTATTACACTATCAGGGAGAGTTTAAACCTTTTCCAACTGCTGTGGTGTGAAAATTGAAACTGATTGATGCAGTATAAAAACTGGATATTTGACAAAAATTTAAGGTCGGTGAAATATTTACATGATCAATATATATATCTGCCCCAACAATTTCCATTTTCAAAAATCAGCTGAAGCATTTTTTATTCACAAAAGCATACCTGTCATAATGATGTACTGTGATATATATATGCATGTGTACGCCAGACTGTGAGACTGAAGAAATAGCGTGTGAGAATGAGAGAGAGAGAGGGAGAAAGAAAGAGTGAGAGAGGGAGAGAGAGAGAGAGAGAGAGAGTGAGAGAGAGAGAGAGAGAGAGAGAATGGAAATGTTTTTCTATCTGTATAGAATTAATGTTTTAATGAATGTTTCTAGCTACTCACGTTTCAACTTTATTGTGACCGTTGGTGAATTTTTATTGCATTGTATGCGAGACTATTTTTCTCATATAAAATTTTACACATATGCATTTATATTATATGTATAATACGTTGTTTTTATGTACGCACTTGTCGATTAATTTTTAAGACGTGATGTCTTTTTCGTTGTAATGCGCATTGAGCATCTTTTAGAAAATGGAAATGCGCAGTATAAATGCTATTTATTATTATTATAATATATATATAAAACACTGTCTAAAAATAATTTTCATAAATGTATTCTCAAATGCAGATATTTTCAGCTACAGCACTGTTGAGCAAGAAAAGGTATAAGTAATATATGATAACTGAAGTGTCTTCTTTCATCAGTACTCACAATTTCATCTCCTGGCTTGCACGTGTCGACCAAATCATCTAACAAGATCGCATCTTTTGAGCGTGGCAATCTGCCTGCAGGAACTTTGCCAGGACTTTCTTGTATTGTAACCCTCTGGTAGTTTTTGTACACAGTCTGGTCACAGAAACAAGATATTTTTTATTTATGAATCTCAATCATTGACTTAAAAACCATTCAATCACAACACTTTATAAATTACTGAGCGAAAAATGCCCACAGAGGACATAGCTTGAGACAACCACTGCAAAAATAAATTCAATACAAATTAATGAAATTCTCAATTAAAAATGTTAACCCTTTGTGAGCCACACCGGCTTTTAGTGCAGGCTAAGAGATAAGAACATTCCATTATAAATTTAGATGCCGACATCCCAGGTATTTGAATGTCAGGAAATTTCATTAAAATATGACGTTTAGATCAAAAGCAGTTTCTTTGCTACATCCCCTGACATAATTTGGTTCTGCTGTGCTGACCTATTTATGGTGTTAAGAGGGTTAACCTATACCATAGCGTGAGTGAATTTTTTAAAAACCAATACACAATTTTGCCTTCCGGCCTCCTCACCTGCTCCATGTTGATCTCAAACGGCCCCTGGGACTGACACTCCGGACAAGAGCCGGGTTTGATCTCTGTGTTCTGAGTCTGGTAGAAAGGCCCCAGGACAAACGAACATTTGTTACAGTCGTAGCGGATAACACTCAGCTGAGGGAGCACGCTCGTGACGCTGGTCACAACACCGTTTGTGCGGATCAGCTGATTCAGGTGCAGTTGCCTGTCCAGAAAAAAAAAGGTTTTTCATTACGTCAAATGAAAACATGCCTGCACATTTTTTTAAATAGAAAAAAAAACCCCAAACAAAACGATTTAACCCCACAAACCCAAACTCCACCCAAAACCTTGGTTCTCCATAATGGCACCAGTCTTATAGGATAAAATATAATTTTTAAATATACTTCGGGTCGTTTATTAACCTAATCAGTTCAAAATGTTAGTACATAAACGTGGAAATAGCTGTCAACACATTCCAGACAATTACCTGAGGGATCTGATTTCTTCAATCAGAGGAAGATCCGATATTCTGATGTGAATACTCTGAGCAATCCTTTCATAGTTGGGGTACATACTGAACACAACCTCTGTTGCAGCCTGAGAATGGTGAAAAGGACACAAAGTCAGATTTGAAAATGTCATCTAATGAAAAAGTCACAGGCTCAGTGATTTAACAATATTAAACTCAACACAAAACAATTCCTCAATTTTAACAACTATTGTCATAACACGACAATCATACGCCCCACAAAGGTTTATCAAAATTATCACGATGTAATGTACTAACCTCCTGCATATCAATGTTTATGAGAATACAACACTCTCAACCTTACATACAATCAAGCCATAATGATTAACTAGCCCCTTACCTCAGATTTGATAAACGATTTAGGCAACACCACAACATTAATTATGAACTTGCCAATCAATGCGTATGACAATTTCACAACTCTATAACGGCACACTAGCCTTGCAGTACATTCAAGAAGACACAATGAGACATTAGCCTTTATCAACACACTCATAATGGCACACTGGTCCTTACCTCATCAAGATTATTTAGCATTTCTGCAGGTGCCTCTGGCAGAAAGTAAGCCAAGACCTGTTCCATGGACGCCAACATGTTGTAGTCAATCACCAAGCTCTCTTTGTTTCCTGTTAAGAAAATACGAGGCAGGTGTGTCATCCATCACTTTTGGCTGCCAAACAGCATGATTCAATTCAGGTTAACAATTTGTCCCCAAGGCAAGTTATTTACACTGTGAATGAGTCAGGCTAATGTGAGATAATGTCACTAGTTGAAATTCAGTTTTTTATTGTCTTGCAAATTATTTCAACAGAACAGAACCTAAAACCAGAAAAAAGTGAGTTTACTGGTTACTTTCTCAACCATGTCAAGACAATGAAAAAAACAACAAAAACAACTCTAACAGCTGTCACAAAACAAACGCACCTTAAAAAATAAAAATCATATCAAAGACGAGCTGGCAGACATTCCTCATAAGCACCACAGAAAGCATGGCAAATTACCAGACGAAGTCTTTTTTTTTTTTTTTTTTTTAGAGTAGAGGATTTACGGCGCTCTAAACTGCATTAGATCATATGAGCCCCAAGGGGTGGATGTCAACAGAGAAGTCCTTACAGGGTATCAGACTTACTGCTCACCTCTCTAGCTTCAGCAGCACAAGTCTGCTTCGACTATAAAGGCACCCCGGAAATAGCGGGTCACAAGAGTGTGACAAACATACAAAAGAAGTTGAGCAAAATGACAATAGTAAAGATAAGGAATGAAAAAGCAGCAGTTCCCTGTTGTAGTACAGGCACAGTTATGAGCATGACGTTAGATCAGCCCATTAATAATTCTGCTGTGCACTAGAACGAGAAATGTCCCCCCCCCCCCCCCCGTTGGGAATGGCCTAGAGACACTTCAGTCGGTGACACCGCCCCGGGCGGGAGGGCAAGTTCACTTCACATTACTGCCAGTCTAGAATCTCACACATGTTGACACGACAATTCCTCCAACATGAAAAGCGACAAAACATTTTAAAAAATCAACATACCTTCAACCATCTGTCTAATCTTTTCTCTGTACACACTGTGTCCACGCTCATCAACATACGTGCGAAGGAAATTCTTAAATCTGTGTTTGATCTCAGTCTTTGGCCCCAACATGGTCACCCACTCTCTCACAGAATGTCCTTTCATGTCCTCCAGGTTCTCAATGCTCTCAATCATCTAAGGCCAAGCATAAAAACAGGAAATGTAAAAAATTTTTTTGCAGCACTTGCAACATAATATGGTCATATAATACCAAAGATCAGAGGTTTTACAACAGATGAAAAAAAAAGATAAAGATGACAGATGTTTGATAGAAAAAAAAGAGCGGACCACATCAAAGCACCTGCTAACCACCCACAAACAAAATGTGCCATCGATTTAAAAACTGCAGTGCAAATAAGTAGGTATCAAATCATGCTGTAGAGACTGCACCTAGTTTTCTATTTAGACTATCCAGACTCCCAAACTGTTACATGTCTCAACGAAAGACAAGACTTTTCATGAGCAACATTACACAATTAGAACAGACAATGATTATTATTTTTACATACCCAACAATCAACATGGTATACAATGGCATTCTTCAATTAAATTTTCATACCTTATCGACCACAAAGCCAGAACCTCTTCCATCTGCTTTAGATCCTTTCTCCTCATAGAACAAAATGTAATCATGCAAAGAGCTCAGTGAACAATTAATCATTTTACCTCTTCATCACCATCAGCTGTCACACCCTCTGCAGCCCGCTCTGCCATGCGCCTTTTTCTGGCAGGTCTGTCTTCATCATCATCCGAGTCATCTACAAGGAAGGCACAAACACAATTAATGACTGGAAATATCATGTCAAAACAACCGCAACCATTCTTCAAACTTTCAGGTACAAAATATGAACAAGGGGATATTAAAACAAAGCATGAACTTTGATGTAGGCTACTACAAAAAGAGAGGTGCAACACACACACACACAAAAAGTGCTTTTAATTGACAGCAACACACACTCCAACCTTACCACAGAGAACACCTCTTCTCATACACCCAGCGCGAACTCCTTCCTCTCGTAACACACACAAAAAAAGTGCTTTTAACTGACAGCAACACACACACTCCAACCTTACCATAGAGAAGACCTCTTCTCATACGTCCAGCACGAACTCCTTCCTCTCGTTCCCGATCTCGTATCTCTCTCTCTGCATCTTGCCTCTGAGTGTCGGACATCTCAGAATAGTCCGATGTGTCCAGTCCAACATCCTCGTACGTATCCAGCTCTGGGATAGCCTGATAATCTCTGCCGACAGGGTGGGTAAAATGTAAGTAATATTATTCTCCTTCAATAAACTATACTACCACTGTGCCTGCGACAATTACAGATTTAGATACAAATAAGGCCTACAAGATGTTATCAAAAGTCAACAGTCTTGATATTTCTTTTGAGATTAAATATATTTTCAAACTACTCTTGCAAAAGGCCCATAATTTTCATGTGAGCAGCATTATTATTTTAAATGTCAAACAAAAGAGAATGTTCTCACCCTTTACCAATAAACCTAGTACTGTGAAAGCAGAACATTTTAGTAGCAGAAAAACAGGGTCTGTGCACTTTTCGTTATACTAAATCCAGCCTCACATTAATGGAAAATCTTAAACTGTTCTCTTGGCAACAAATCTCATATTTAAAAGAACTTTCAATCATTAGAGTCCCTATAGTATGAACTCTGGTTAGGCGAAAATAAAAAGTAGCCCACAGCATATGTAATGTATTCCTAATAAGGTATGATAATACAGTTGCAGAAAATACTGATACCATGCCATTTAGAGGAATGGCAGCAATCTTGTATTATAATGAAACTGACCCCAGTCAATATACCAAGACAATCCGGATTTCGGCCGAATTATAACCATAATTTGGCTCCACCAATGATTACTTCTGGCTTTCAACAGTTACTTTTCGACTCAAATGCCGATATGGAGAGATATCAAACTTAAAAAAACAAAACAAATGATAGTTGAATTCAGCAGCCCCCCCCCCCCCCCCGGAAATAGTTAAAATATATTAAGTATACTGCTTATTTTGCAATGTAAAATAACTGCACCTCTCGCTCTCGTTCGGAGAAAGCTTCGATACCAAAATTTAAGTCGGTATCGTCCAGTAGGGCCTACTCTTGGAGCAAAACCAGAGTGTCTGTATATCCTACCTTTCCAGTTCATCCCCAAACAAATTTTCTCCCTCCTCCTCCTGCTCATTATCGCCATCTCCGAGCAATTCTGATTCATCCTCAAAAGGAGGCAAATCTCTTCCAGGGCTAGATGTAAGAGGATCACGTTGTCTCCCAGGACTGCTGGCAGTGGAGAAGGGATCAGCATCTGATGACAACTCATCCTGAGGAAAATAATGGAACAGCATTCATAATCATTTCATCATAAAAATTACAATAGAAGGCTTAGATGCTACATAACTGAATTAGAAGTCAAATACTGATGTAGGCCTTGGCCCCAATAGCCAACAAGAAGGTAGATATCTTGAGCAGCCTAAATCAAGTCCTAAATATAAGTTGTAAATCAAGTCTCTTACTTCAATAGGGGCTGACACAGACAGTTAACAAACTCTTAAAACATTCATGCTCCTCATCTTCTTCAAGCATAGGCCAACCTATACAATTCAGGACTGAGTGTCGAGAAAACAATATAAAACGTTCTGTAGGCCCACTACAGACTAGATCTAGATCAAGCTAGCAGCCAGTCAAAGTAATGTTCCGAGTTCAACCAGAATCTAGATCTAGATCTTCCTTTTTTTGTTCACAGTGGCTTCGTTTACAACACCCTGAATCATCCACTATTGGCACAGAGGCGCGAGTGAAACACATGAAGCTGCAGCGAGCACCTAGCACACCTCTGTGATTGGCCCAAATATTGATGATGTATTTCAGCCATCTATTTTTGTCTTCCCTTGCTAGTTGATAACATCTAGATCTCACCATGGCCGGCCCGCTTTGCCCACTAATATCTGCTAGTTGATAAGATCTAGATCTCACCGTGGCCGGCCCGCTTTGCCAGTTAGCACACTACATCTAGGTTTCATCGCCAACTGTTTGGGCTGTGTGTGTGTGCAACTTTGAGAAGGTAAATTTATGGAACAAGAATTGCTGAGGTTGTTTATAAAAGATAACATGGATCTAAAATAATAGGCCCTTAGCCTTAATAATAATTAAAAAAAACAAACACGGCAAGATTTAGTCAACAGAGTTACTGGCGAGGAAAATCCAAGAGTCTTGGGCTCGGGGGAAACCCCGGAAGATGACAAAAATAGATGGCGGAAATACTTCATCTAGAAGATCTAGATCTAGAATCTATATTTGGGCCAATCACAGAGATGTGCTACATCTAGAACTATACTACAGGGTCCCCACCAAATCCTGGAAATTTTTTTCAAGACCCAATTCGAGGGAAAAATCAGGCCGCTGCGCATTAAGAATGATCCCCCAAAAAGCCAATCTATCAATCATAAAAAGTCAAAATGTCTATAAATGAATGCAAATGTAAATTTTGTAGTATAGTCTTCAAACAATAGATGACTATAATACTGGGTGACTGCCAACCCAGCTTCTGAATTTTCCAAGGGAGGGGCCTCATCCATTTTCCAGGAACACGTTCCATAACAATGAAAGCGTGTGCTCCATGTATATCTAATATAATACATGTATATGTTTGTGAATACACACATTACACATACACACACACATGTAGGTACATTATATCCAGTCAACAACACGTCAGTGTGGCACTGGGATCTTGAGAGACTTTGGTATTTCAGTCTGTTCTTACTTATTTAAATTTCCCCCTCATCGTATTAACTAACATAACAAACTATAGGCCCTATATAAAAAATGAATCCTGTTTTGTGCCTGAGAAAAGACCTAGAACTAGAATATCGACTGTCAATAACCAGTCTGGGTGTCATGATTCATATGATAAACGTGAAGACGAAAACCATTGCTGCAACTCAAAGAAGAGTAACATTAGTAATAACAAGAATGGCTCAAGTACACCTATTCAGAGTGAGAGGTGTAAGAACTGGGGGGGCGCAAGATGCAGTGGCACTGAAAGTCTGCCAATCTTGAACAGAAAGCTAAAAAAAATATAGATATAAATTACAATCACCCCATCCAATGAAACGCGAACACTTTAGTTCAATAACAAGGCATGACGGACCCCGATTCCACACAAGGCCTGCATCAACGCGCGCTTTGCAGAGAGCTCTAAACTAGTTATCAAAATGCTAAAAATTTGCTTCCAAGTTCAGTTTTTGACCTCTAGCGGTGCCTTCAGCCCCCCCCCCCCCCCAATCCCCTTCCACGAGTGTATCTTATAAAGGAGTCCTGTACTTCACAGCGCTCAGACCGCCGGTACTCACAGGTTCATTGACCGGTCACAAGGGCGAACCTGTCAAGACGCTTGTATAAGTTCTTTTTCTTTTTCCACAAGCGACAGTAGAGGGCAATTTTTAATATTGATTTATTTTCAAGGCAGCACAGCGTTCATAATGCATAACCTGCATGTTACAAATGTTGCGTTATCTATCAGTCTATTTACCGGAATATTTCTGGGCGGTAACGAAAGCAGATCTTGATTCTTTCCGATCGAGCCTCGGTGTCACACATACACTTCCGCCACAGCGGTTCAATTCCGTTTCCTCTTCAGGATTCATCAACCATACAGTCTAGATAGCTACACATTACACAGGCCCTATCCTTTCCCGACTTACAGACCCATCACAAAATTCCCGACTTTTTCCCGACCTGGTGGGGACCCTGTATCTAGGTGCTCGCTGCAGCTTCATGTGAATTTAAACACTACTGGATCTATGGTTGCTCAAACCCAGAGAGAAGAAGAAAACCGCACAGGAATAGGCCCACTCGCATGAAAAATAAGGAGCGGTAGTCAAAATGCAACAGTTTCAGTTTACGGAGGATGAAGGCGAGCAAAGCAAAACTGTCTCAGTCGCTCAGCGCACGGAACACGACCTCGATCGTCTTCCTGAGTGTGGACCTGGCAATGCCCGACAATTTGAAAATAAAAGTCGTTCGAAGAAACAAGAGAGAATGGAAGAAGGCCAAAGCGGGAAGAGGGTGGGAGGGGGTGAAAAAGAGGAGAAGCAAAATCAGTGATCTTATACTTTAGCACGATAAATTCCCAAAGTCTACTAATCCCTGACTGAGTGACTCAGACCTTCAAAACTTTGAACTGGGCCTAAAAATGTACAAACTACCGTAATTCTGTCATGAACAGATTGTATAACAGTGGTTTTCAGTCTTCCATCATGATTTTGGAAGCAATTGAGTACAATCTTGATCCAGATCTGATTGTGGTCGTTCACTTCGGAAGTCCTCAATTGAAGAATTTAACGTGCTTAAGTATAAGATCACTGCAAAATCAAAAGGTTAAGCCAGGGCCAGTGACTGGTCTAGAAGAGCTGGAGGTTGCCCCTGTGGAGGCGCGATCGCTCAGATCTGAGGAAGGGAGACAAGGGGGTGAAGTGAGCATAAAATTAAATTGCAAACTAGAATCTAGAAATCTAGCCTACATTCAGGGCACGTGAACGTGGCCTGCAAGCTAGACCTCTTATTCTTAGATATGTACCCTCACAGAGCTGTGATTGTGAACATAACATAGCCACTGCGTTTTTGTTTTCCAAACCTAAACTCTAGGCCCTCGATTGCTAAAACCAATAGTAAATCTTTATCAAAACAAGGGTTCAATTAGGTAAACGAAAAAAACAACTGATGTCACATAGATCTAGAATCTAGATCTAATCTAGATCTACGTCCCTTGCCTAGGCTAATGCTAAGTGAGTCTGCTAGATTCTCATGATGGTCCGTGGCATCGTTCACCATACTGCAAAATTAGTCTTGGTGATGGTGTGAGTCTCTTCGGCAAAATACTCTACTGTCTACGGCACAAATTAACTTTACAGTCATTATAAACTTAAAACAACAATACTTACGGCCATAATGTGTGTCTTTGGAGTTTGGAGAGAGAGAATCAACAAGTCTATAAATAATGAATTACACTTGGATTTTATAATAATTACGCTCTGTTCAGCCACAAAGAAGCTTCTCGCGGACTTTTTCACTTTCCCGGCAATTTTTCGCGGGAAAAGTGGGGTCAGGCAACAGGTCACAATAAATTCGTAAAATAGTGCAAAAAATAAATACCCAATTGACCATAATCAAACTGTTTTTGCACGATTTTTTTGCTCTTTCAATTTGAATATTGCATTTTGCAATGCCACAAATAGCTCACAATATATCTTACACTTTTTCTGAATAAAAAACCTGTTAGTAATTGCCTTGAACTTGGCGGCTTAATTTAATAAAGAAGAATAACCAGGAAATTGTGGTTGAACTGGTTTGCAGTGATTTCCCTTTTGTTGCCATGATGATGACCTCAAGCTTGTTGTGTTCAGTACTGTCTACTTCCGGTAAAGTCTTCTTCGATCTCAACTGCATACGCCGATGCAGCTTTGTTTCTGAACTGAATATAGAAGAAGGTATTGTTTGATCCCTTATATGCTTACAGAGACTTAGCAGCCAGATTTACATGTGTCGAACTCTATTACCAAGGTCTTTTTTTATCCTCTTAGCCCAAATTTAACTGACATTAATGCGCAGAAAACAGTCACATAGATTCTAGATCTAGAATCTAGATCTAGATCTAATCTAGATCTAGATCTAGATCTAGATCTAGATCTATACTTACTTGACGAATACTACTACATCTGGAGGTAAAATTGAAGATTAGCCTAGCAGACCACCTGCCGGGAATACTTTTTTTTGTGCACTAGATCAAGATCTAGATCTAGATCTATTATTATTCATTCAGTAGATCTAGATCTACATCATTATACATCTGAGAGCAATCAATTTTACAAGAGGTGGGAGAGGTGACAAGACTGTCGTGCACCTATGACACAAAGTGTGACAAAGCAACAGCTGATAATCACAAACCGGCTTTTTCTATTCCTATTGAATTACATCATATGTCATAGCCATTTTGAATCCCTTTTTGTATTTCTGGCCCTAATATGATTCTGATATTTTATCTTCTTAACAGACATATTTTTATTGAGGCAAAATGAAGAGGGTAGGCGGTTTTGAGGCCAAGGGAAGTTGTTGATTTTTCACTTTTAGGTAGGGATGGGGGGGGGGGGGGGGGGGCTTGCAATAGTTTTAAGGGAGTGTATACAGACCCGGTAACCGGGAACAAAGTCACAAAGTATACAGATCCAGTAGGGGAACTCTTTTGTGATTTCGGAAGGTTTCAGCGCCCACTTGGCTCAGGGTAGACCTAGATCTAAATATAGGTTCTTCTAGAGATTCTAGAAGATCTGTGGCCTAGGTCTAGATTCTAGATCTAGAATACAGACATAAATCATTCATCTAGTTTCAAGGCTAGCCTAGATCTAGATCTAGATCTAGATTCTAGATCTAAATGAAGATTGCGGATGTTTTTTCGATGAATGATCGTTTTTCCTCCATTTTGGAGTTGGAGGAATCACAATTTGAAGAAAAGAGCAATGTCATAATTTCAATCGAGCAGTCACCCTCTCTATTTCTCTGCCCCCCCCCCCCCCTTCTCTCTCTCTCTCTCTCTCTCTCTCTCTCTCTCTCTCTCTCTCTCTCTCTCTCTCTCTCTCTCTGTGTATCGCTCACATTCTCTTTTTCTTTGTTTGTCTCTGTCTTTCTTTCTCCCCACCTAGACTCTAGATTCTATTTCCCACTCTCTCTCGTTCCCTCCTGCCAACTGGGGCATGTCATACATTTTGCTAGCACTTCCCCCTGCTCTCTCTCTCTTTCTCTCTCCTTCTCTCTCTTTCTCTCTCTCTCTCTCTCTCTCTCTCTCTCTCTCGCTCTCTCTCTCTCTCTCTCTCTCTCTCTCTCTCTCTCTCTCTCTCTCTCTCTGTCTCTCTCTCTCTCTCTCTCTCTCTCACACACACACTCACATCCACTCTCACACACACACACACCCCCACACACAACCGGGTCTGGGCGCTGAAACTTTCCGCAATCACAAAAGAATTCCCCTTCCGGGTCTGTATACTTCGGGACTTTGTTCCCGGTTACCGGGTCTGTATACACTTCGTAGTTTTAAAGTAAATATATGCATAGGGCCATTTATTATTCTAAGGGACATATCATAAAAAACCTGCTGCTGATACCATTTTAGCAGCTACTTATTTTTGCTACCATTAATAAAGGGTAGAAAAAGGAGAATAATTTTCTTTTGACTTTGTCTAGGCCTATTGTTTGTTATTAAGATATATTAGATACAATTAGTTACTTAATATGTATCAAACTTTTACTTTAAAACTGGGAAACAAATTTGCACACTCCTTGAGCCTGTGTGTAATTGTATCCTACGTTTGCATTTCCTGCAATCGCCATATATGTCAAATAATTATAGCTCTTGGATACTAACTGTATATATTCTCTTTACATTGATTGGAATGTACAAGCCTTAAAGGTTCATGCTTATTGGTCCTCTGTTTAATTTGATTGTGAACCTTACACGGGTTATATAAGATCTATGACTTTCCACAAGATATATATGATTAAGTGGTGTTGCTTGTAGTGCTGCTGTTCCAAGTAGTTTTTTAAATATATCTCAAAGTAGTCTTATTTTCATTTTTTGTATTTTGATGGATTTTTACACTTTTTTTCGCTACCTCTCTTTCCATATATCTACCTGACAAGATTTCCATCATGGCTGACACATCTCAGCCCCAGTCACACGTTGCTACGCCAGAAGCCTCAGATCTGTCAGGGAAGAAATCACGTAAGTTGCTAAAGTATGTTGCGTTATTTGGTGTAAAAAAAATAAACATTTAATTATTTTCTACAGTACTGATTTTATTTGAAAGTTAGGTTATCAATTGAAACCTTTTGGTCAGTCGATTTCATTCATATTCACTTTGCTTCTTTTATTGTCAGTATTCATTAATATACAAGAAAAAGTACTTAAAGGAGGAAGGGGGGGGGGGGGGCGCTACACCTGAAGGCTATCTCACTTATAAGTAGACCAAATTTTACCAAATTTCGCACATATAACTAGCATGGTAAGGAGTTTTAAAATCCGCAATCAAATTTGAAAAAAAAATTATTTTCCATTGATACGGCCATATTGGGTTTTGTTGACATGTATTACTTATCTTTCATGGAAATTGATTGTTTTTTTGCATGCATGTTAGCAAACATTAAATCTGAAAATTGTCTGTTGTTTTTTTCCAAAACGAATCAGAAAATTTGTAATGAATTTTTTCCTGAGGTAGATCTAGTATCCAAGTATTCAAGTTTGCAAAAAATCTGTAAAAATCCACACTCCGGACACCACCCAAAAAAATCTATTCCATATTATATCAAAAATTCAATTGACAAATTTTTAGAATTACATCTTCTCTTCATTCTGTGAAAATTGGATGAAAAATGGTTGAGTTTTTCAAAAAACCACAGAGAAAAATTGCGTTTCGAGAAAACGACCAATAAAGGAAAATAAAATATTGACTTTATGAGGAAATGGTGGTGACAAGTATGCCCGGTATGGGAAAAAATAAGGCTTTTAGGGGTTTTTATGCCATGAAATAGTTGAAGGAGAGGCAGAGGAAGCTAAAAATGCCTACTACACAAATTCCACAAGTTTGAGCCGAATTGGGACTTTGGGGGTGTAGCCCCGCCCCCCACTTAATTTGTTCTGTAATTAAAAAGGTGCATTATGCCTAGCTCAACTTTGTATTGATTTTAACATTAATGGTGTTGCAATTTGTTCTTATTTCAGTCTCTAAGTATAATGTAAAATCGATTTTAATATTCACTGTGTTGCAAATCTGGTATTTTTCTTAGTTCAGTCACATGGTATAATGTAAAACAAAAGTTGTGACTCTCTGTTTGATTTTCATAATGTATATGTTCTGTGAAGGTCAAGAAAATGCATCACGCCAGTCTGGTCGGGTGACCTTTCCAAATTCAGCAAAGTCAGGGTCAAGTGCCCATTCTATGAGGACAGGTGAGCAGTATAATTTTGTGACTGGAGCCCTTGAAAGTTTTAACAAGGCCATGAATTTTCAGTTTTTCTTCTTCCCCCCCCCCCCCCCCTGCCTTCTAATGGGCCGAGCTCCCAGGCAGGGTCTTTTCAAATTGCACTGGCAATATATTTTTTTCATTTCATGACTTGCATAGTCAGTAGTCTGTATGTTGTAAAATTGTTACATCCCAATCAACACAATTTAGTTCTAAAAAGAAGTGGGTTGCTTCAACCCTGCCCTCCGAGGCCTATAACCTTGGCTATTTAGGATACTGCATTCAAGCATAAAGATGGGGCTAAAATTCCTCCTCCTTGTATGGGAATTGAACTTATGTTCTTTGTGCATTTAACATAGAGCTTAAGCATTACAATTTAGGTGTCAGTTGTAGGCGCTACTTATTTTATATTTAAGAGAAATTCTTACATCTTGAGAAGTATTTGGTAGTTGTTTTTTTTTCACTACTTTGATTGTCTTTCACGAACTTTCATTTCTCTTTTTTTTGTTTTGACAGATGAAATTGTCCCGAAAGGAAACCCATTCAAAATGCCTCCAGACAGTGATATATTTCTTCTCAGAGACAAAGAGAGGCAACGGAAGAAGCAAGTGAGTGCACAGTGGCAGTTACAGAAAACGTGGCAAGGGCCCTATTGTCCTGTCCTCCTAAACAAGCTGATCATTTGATCTCTTGTTGCCTGTAATGATAATGCCACCTTTGTACTGACCAGACATTTCAATCTTTTGCTTTGACAATTTAGACAAAGAAACGGAAAATTGATGAACAAAGTAGGTTTTCTTTTTACTGCTTTTCTGTAGGCGTAGTTTGAGTTGTCCAAGATAGCTGAGTATGCACTTGTAGGCTTTAGCCATCTCAGTAATATCTTCATAGCCTTCAGCCATTGAATGCTATTGTTGATCCTCTGGATAATCATTTCTGTCTGTGTGGAGTTTGTTTGTTTCTTATTCTCAATATTTTCCTTATATCGTACACGGCGTCACTTTTCGCCCGATTCTGTTACTTTTAGTTCGCGTGACTCAGCAGCCCACCGGAGCTCCCCGGCTCGGGGTCACGGGGTTTATGAGCCCTGAAGCGACTTTGCCGGTGTTGGTCAGGAAGTTCGCATTTTTGACTACGTTTAAAACGATATAACTTCTTCCCCATCCCACATAGCAAACCATTACGCGGATGTACTAAAAGCTCAATGTCTTGAGATTTATTCTGCGTTAGAATGGTTAGTTTCTGTGCCTTAGTTTTTGTTCTAGACAAGTGTTTGTAGAGTATCCAATTTGTCCTATTTTAGTTACAAACTTATGAATAAATGATTGTTAATTTAAAAAAGGCTCGACAGATCTCTCCAAAATCTGTGTTAAACTGACTACGAATATCATGTCTTTTACCATGAGAAATCTTAAATCTGCGCGAGTAGTAATAGTCAAGTTGTAAGAGAAGAAAGATGCACATCTGCATTTTTTAACTAAAGACGATCAGCGTTAGCTCTTATTTTACTATTAAACAAGAGAAAGTTACTCTGCGTTTGTTCATGAATCATGCTGTGTCTGTGGCAGCCTGCATACAACTAAAAAGATATAATATAAGCGATTTAAAAAACCACAAAACCGTGTAAATACATGGGTAGAGATAAACTTCTTGTATGGAATAAAAATAATGACAGCTAAAACATTCATTTTTAGTTTTTGTGTAGGAAATATGCGCGGACACAATTATGAATGTTAAGAAATCAGTCACATTGTCAGTTATTGCAAATGGTCATAGAAACGAAAAAAAAAAGCTGGAAGAGTCTGGTGCTGATTCAGTATCCCTGGAAAGCTAGAAATTATTCTTTTAACCCAATCCCTATTATTCAGTCAACTTACAAAACCTAGACGTAGCGTTTTAAGAAAAGTAAGGAATTTCTGGAGTGTAACAGATACTGTTCGTGTATTAGATCTACGTTGAAGATGTATTCTAGCACTAAAATCGATTTGTACTTTTCATAGAGAAACTTCATGGTAACTTTTATAAACTTTCGAGAAAATATGCGAATATTCACGATTATATTAGACACATAAAGTTTTATTTGGAGGAATTACTTCATAGCGAATTGTGTGCCCGATGGATAAAATTGTAAAATTACAGCCTTCTATTATAAGCGCAGATACCATCTTTTTTGAGTATCTGCACCAATGTTATGTCATTCATGTTCCAAAAGTTCGACAGATTTTGACGATGCGTTTTTTTTTATATTGATTTTTTTTCATTCACGCTAGTCCAAAAAAAATTACAATTTAGCAATGCCGACTCCAGCGGGTCTAACGAAATAACCAGACAAGTTACAACGTCTGTTCTTTTTTGAGTCTCAAGAGCAGAAATGCGTGCTTTGGGTGCACTAAATGAGAATTACCATAAATACAAGGATACACCTTAAATTGTACGTTGAAAAGTACCAAAAATTAGGTCGGCCCAGACAGAGCGGCGACAGGGAGCTGACCCCCGTGACCCCGACGTGATAAGGCGCCCGGCGGGGAACCCCCCGCTGCAACTAAAATTCCACTGCCGGTGCGCCGTGCGTACCTCTTTTAACAAATTTCCCCAGAACCTTCTGCTGTTTCATAATTCAAATGTATTTGGTTGTCTCCAAGTTCTTACAAAAATTGGGCAACATGAAAGTAATTTCTCAATTTCTGTTGTTCCCTGGAATGTGTAATGCTTGAAAGATTTTCCAATGTTTGCAACAGAAAATTGCTTATGGGTTTAAAAAAAATGTTTTTCATTGTGATACTGTCATCTTTTGCAAGAAAAGTATTTAACTCTGTTTGACCCCACTTTCTTGAGGGAACAAACAAATTTGGTACTTATTGTTGTCTTGCAGCACTGACGATATTCTTTTCTGTTGTTGTTGCCAATCTATGGATTGTAGGGGTTGGCCTACACCTTAAGCTCTGTAATATTCAGTTGAACTTGTCTAAGATGGTCAACTATTGTCGAAGAAAAAGTTGCTGTCTTTGACAGGCTGACGTCTTACTCAGTGTCATAATAATGTAAAAAATGCAAGGGGGAAATGGGAAATGGCCATTTGTGCAGGTGATTGTCTTATATAGTTGACCACTAGAGCAGGTTTGACTATAATCACAAGACTGCTCTGCTAAGATAGAGTATGTTTCATGAATGACATTTTTCCTCCTATCCACAGGAGCGACTGAGACAGAGAAACTTGAAAGTTCATGAGAAAACAACGTATGCATCCAGGGTCAACTTTCGCACAGCAGCAATGATCCACCCAGCCGAATCTGAATCTGAGGAGGAGGAGGATACCGATAAAGCAGTTGCTGTGAAAGACGATCCTCAATTTACCATCGCTGTGACTAGAGGTAGCCAGTTGATCAGATTATTGTAGGTGAAATAATGTACTGGTCGATACGTTGACATTTTCAACTTAATCAGCATGAAGTGGAATAAGATTGGGTGATATTCTAGTGTGTGTTTGAATGTACTATGATATGTGGCTAAACTCTTATTTGTTTGTGTGGGAAAGTTGCTTTCTTTCATTGTAAATATTCTATGCCCCCCATACAAACCATATTGATTATTTTGAAGTTAAGTTGCTTCTGTCGTTTTTGTATATATGATATATTTTAATTGAGAGATTGAAAAAAGCCTGATTTCTCGTTAAGGATTTTTATTAGCATTTGTTTTTCATGAATGGGCCGAAAGAAGCAAACCAGGTATGCTTAGCTTTTGAGAGTGACTCATATATATATGTATGTATACTGCATCAAGTTAAAATAAAATTTTGTTGCATTCATACAGCATTTTCTCATCTCTACAGACCGGCATGTTGAGAAAGAATCGCTAGCAGAATATATTGCAAAGAAAAGGGAAATGTTTTTAGTTCAGGTAAGTATCTTAACTCTCAATGATTTTAGGACTTTCTGCATTTTGTAAAATGTCATTGGGTGATGGAATGTCATTTCAAGTTTAATTTTATATCCAAAACATATTTCATACTACAAATTCCTGCTACACTTTTCAGATACAATTTGGAAATGTAAATCTCTGGTTCTATCAAGTTCAAACAGTCACCACTCTAGTGGGCATTTCTATCAGCAGTAGGTGACCAAAATTGCTTACTTGAAATCTTTGAGGGTTAAACTATTTGTACTTTGATGATGTGCCGCAGCAGATGCTTGAGGTATTGTGTGGAATTAATTTATGCATTGAGGCAGCATGTTGAAATCAGGCGCTCGTCAAAATAATGAAAGTGAAGAAACTGGCATTTTTCTGCAGGTTTGGGAATTGTTATCAAAGTTTTGTTTTTTGTCTCAACACTTTTCATGCCTATTAAAGAACACATTTCTGTGTGGATTTTACCAACGTTGATTAAATGCATAAAAGACGTAAATTTTCAGTTTCCATGGGCTCTCAAGCTAAGGAAGTAAATAAACTTGGACTGCCATTTTCTCGTTAATTTTACCTTTGAAACTAGGTGACCCCCTTCTCCTTCAATCGGCAATATCTCAACCTGTATCCAAGATAAATGGATTATTTTTTCTTCGAAAGCAAGGCAAATAGACATGCATTAAGATGATACCTATAACTCTATATGCCCCAAAATTGACGAGCGCCTGATTCCACTGTGTCGTGACACATACGTGTTATATAATTGATAATGGATTAAATTTGTATAGTGCAAATTTCTGTTCAACCGCAAGCTTTATTATTCCTGCAGATCTGATAACATTCTGAGACGATCTCAACTTCCTGGGAAGCAGACAGTGCAAATTGCCATTTTACAGGCGCTAAAACACTAACATACTGGAAAGATCTTTTGCTGTCTATGCCTGGGTTTGCATTTACACCAGGGTGAAGTGAGGAAAATACATGTAAAGTGCCTTTCTGGAGGACACAATATTGGTCTGAGCTGAGCCTCAAACCCCTGAACCCGCAACCTGATAACTATGAGTCTGGTAGCCTTATACCCACAAGAAGTACTGTTGCCAATCTTGCTTTGAGTGTGAAGATTTAGTCCCTGAATGCTTTCGGAGATTGTTTAGGAGTATACCCCATGCCGTACCATACAATCAATTACTTTGACGTATATTAGGCATGGGTACAGTCAACAGGCGATATCAAGACTGTTTTTGTCATCACTCACAGTATTCTCTCGGAGTGAAGCGGGATGAGATGAGAAAACTGGAAGAGATAGCACAGGCAGAAGAGAAGAAGCTGGAGCTGGCAGAGCAATACCTGGAGGAGGATGCAGCCATGTTTGATGAGTTCTTGAAAGAAAATGACAAAAACTCAGTGGAAGCTATTAAAATGTAAGTAAAGTCCAACCTGCTCAAATGACCACCTGTACAAGACAATCACCAGTAAAAAAAAAGGCCACTTCCCGTTTTACCCACCCCGCATTTTTTTTTTTTACATTATACTGACCCTGTGTAAGATGTCCACCTACATTGTCTAAGACAGCCACTTTTCTCCTCAATAGTGGATAGCCGTCTCAGACAAGTTCGATACTGTATTTGTGTGGTCTCTCAATGCTGACATCATCTTCCTCAAAGTCACCAGAAAAGTCTTTGAAATGGATCGACCTTTATTGCCCAAGTTTGGTTTTCTCTATCTGAGATAATTGCAGCTTCTTTCTTATGATTATAATGTTGAAATCTCTTGTTTTTTCAAATGTCAATTTACTGAAAGAATGAACTGAAGAAAAAACATTTTGAAAAAAATGAAAAGACACATTGGTTCTGGGATTTTACTTTTAGATTGTTTTTCTGTCTTTTTCAAGATTTTTATCTCCAGATGAACCAAATTTTTCATTTGAAAATTGTAAAAAGAACAGAAGAAACTCTAGATATTCAAATTCAAAGATAACTTTTTGCGTCTGTTTGTCTGTGCAGTGCGGAGGCGGAAGCGAAGCAGAAGATGGAGAAGATCAACGAGATCAAGAGAATCAACGCACAGATGATGGGCATCAAGTCGGAGATCTCCAAGTACGAGGACACACTCAAGGAGTATCAGTTGTACCGGGGATTCCTCGAGTCTCTCATTCCACAGGTATGTTGACTCATTGTCAATCTTTGGCCAGCTATTGAAATGAACTAAGTCCAAAAATTCAAATTTTATTTTAATTGCTGTTTCTTAATCTGTGCTATTGGTTGCATATGGTCAAGAATCATTTTTATTGAAATAAAAATTCTGAATGTTGGTAAAAGCAAAAAGAAAACATAATGTAGGCACAATATTGTTAAGAGAATGAGACAATTTTTTTCTCTCTCTTATAAAATTTTGCATTCTTGGCCTAGTACATTTGAACAGGTTGTCAACAAAATGTTTTAACCCCCCCTCCTCTCCCCCGTTGAAACAATTTGTTTATTTAGGAGGTGGGCTGCCTGTCAAGGCCACCCAGGGCTGAGAAAGATACAGTATCCCAGCTAAAGGGTGGAGAACTTGATGAAACAGAATTTCTCACACATCACGTCTTTTGCACGTTATAACAAAGCCATCAACCAGAGAGAGAGAGAGAGAGAGAGGGAGAGGGAAGGAGGGAGAGGGAAGGAGGGAGAGGGAGAGGGTGTGAGAGAGATAGAGAGAGAGAGAGAGAGAGAGAGAGAGAGAGAGAGAGAGAGAGAGAGAGAGAGAGAGAGAGAGAGTTAGTTATGGGTAGACAAAAACTTTTGGAGAGATTAATTCTTTTCCTACCAGGCCAAAATCCACCACTGGCCCAAGGCCTGACCTATTTTTACATCCCAACCTGCCAAAGGAAAATGTCAAAACATCCGACTAAACACACACAAACCATATCTTATGGCCCATCAAACTGAAGGTTAAAAAATAATCTATTAGATGGCGATACAATATTGAAGATTTATTCCAATTATATTACTTTGGGGTTTCTAAAAGTGATTATGCAATATCAAAGATGTCATATGAAATCAACAATTTTCCAGCATTGAAAGGTCATAACTAAAAAAGTGCAACAACAGCATCATTCAAACTTCCCAGGTAGGTTGCCTCAAGTAATGCAAAGAAATGCTGAAAGTTATGTATTTGTACCTAATATAGAAGTGAAAGTATGAGACATATACTGAAGTCAGGGGAGCGCTTTTTTTCCTCATATTTATGTTTCAAATGGGACAAAAAAAGCACTGAAATGTCTAAAAATCGTCTGTCAGTGCAATATTTTCTTTCGTATCTGCTAACAGGAAGCCTATTCTATTATTTTGAAATCGTGGATCGGCTGAGAATTTTGTATCTTTTCATTACTGGATTGGAATAGATAGCGAGCCACTCGAGCCGTATTTTGCGGCTCTCGGTTGTGGGAGGCCAAGTCCGCGAGCCGCAAAATGCGGCTTGTGGTAGGGAAAGTGTTAAGAAGAAGAAGGGTGAGAGGCAGGATGGGGTGCTGGTGTCTTGACAGATTGGGTAACTTTAGAAAGTCAGTGTCAGATTCGCTTTGGATATATGAGTACGTACCCACACACTCACACACATGTATGCACACTCTCTCTCACACACACACACACACACACACACACACACACACACACACACACACACACTCACGCATATGCACGCACATTCACAGAACATACACATACACACAGACACCCACACACACCACACACACACGCACATAACTCACAGAGGTGTATCGTGTGGTAGACAAAAAAAAAGTTTTTTCCATGGGCTAACAGCGCCTGGAGAGAATGGATGATGATTTGACCCAGTTGTAGTCACAATGTCTTACAGTTTTACCCATTACAATTCAGGAAGTTCAAGAAGAAAGACAGAAAGCTCTTGAAAAACGAAGGGAAGAAAAATCACAGACTAAAGAGACTGCGGCACCGACTTCCAAGTCAGGTTCAAGGTCCGATGCATCAGAGAAGGGTAGCATAAACAGCGGCAGACGACCAACGAAGAAAACGGGAGGTAAAGGAGAGAAAGGGACAACATCACCCAGCAAAAGGTACAGTACAATTTTTGTTTGTTTATTGTTTCGCCAATTTCAAGACAGCTTCGCCTTTGCATGTAATGAAGTTGGAAGTAAAGGATTTTTTATTAACTGATATAATATGTAAGTTTTGTCAAATTGCCTGCTTGCTCTGTCTGCAGAAATACCCTTTAACAATTACTAACTCGGAGTAATGTAATTTTGTTTTTATTTTTAACTACTGCTGTGATATTTGCACGTCTGAACACATTTGTGGAATTTAATTTTCTGATTTTGCGTGTACTAACACAATCACTCATCTTTTAAAATATTTCGCTCTGTGTTTCATACAAGGCCTATTTTTTTTCCTTTTTTCCTTTTGATTTTTGCGAGATCTGCACCCAATAACTGTTGTTGTATACAGCAACTTCCTTTGGTTTTACTTCTGTACTATAAACCCTTTTAAGCAATCAACTAATATCGCCCAGGTTGACAAGCACAAGGTAGATGGATTGATGCACCTTCTGACTGAATCACAATTTGGAAACTGCTGCTGAATCTATAAGATAAGAAGTTCCTCATGACTGAGTCTGTTTTCATCTGGCAACTTTGTCGGTAGAATGTCAGAAATGAATTTCCTATTTCAGCCCCAGCTCACAGAGTGAGAAGACTATAGACGCAAAAATGGATGATTTATTTATTGAGCTGAATACGCTGAGCTCCACTCAACAAGCCATGGCTATGGACGAGATGTGAATATATGGTTATGTTGCTTTCTGCTTGCTTGGGTTCTTTGAACACTTTAGTGACCAGCCTTAGTTGTCCCAGGCAGACTGGGGGGATGACCACCATCACAGCTTGTGTTTGTAGGAAGAGGAAAAACATCTGTCGTTGAACTTCAAATGGTTGGAGCTCTAAGAAGCATTTGACTTGTAAACTGTTGCATAATTACTGTATATGTGTTGTTTTTTGTGTTTTTTTCGATTGACTTGAATTCTTGATTTTCACAATTTTTGGAGAAATTTGCGAACTCAAGTCAATCTCTAAATACTAAAATTGGTGCCACTGCTTTGGAACATAATATGACTCTCGGTTACTCAAATTATGATTTCAAAATGTACACGAAAAACTAAATAACGAAAAAAAAGGGAGTTCAGTTATTCACTTCCCTATAGCAAATGTTTGGAAAGCATAGTTTGGACTTAGAGAAAACTGGACAGGTTTGTATCTATAAAGACATGCTTGAGTGTGGGTACTCTCCTTGTTAGATTTGAGGGGAATGAGTGGAATGGGGTATCTAGTACTGTTTTTGATGGTCACTAAGGTGTTTATTGTTTTGTTTTATTTAGTTTGGAAGGTTGTTTTTGGACAGATTTTAAGATATATAACTCTTTAATTAAATGTTTTTTGGAACATTTACTAAACAGTTGCAACAGCACCTGAATGCAACAGCAGCTCTCCATTGTAAAAGTTAAAACAGTAGCAACGAAACAACAATATAAACAAATTGTTGTAACGTTCAAGTGATTGTGAACAGCAGTGAATATTTCTGTTGCGAAACAAATTTGTTCTTCAGCTAAACAAGAGCAAATTTTGCTGCAGATACAAACAGATTGAACAAAGTCAAGGGCTAGAAACTCCCGCTTTCTGCGATCAATTACTTCCCTGTCTTGCCTTGTCTGCTTGTTTTTCTAATCACACTGATGTTACATCTTTAGTAGTTGCTCTAAATGATTCTCTATTCTCTTCTTTCCTTTTCTTAGTGTTGCTGTTGTTCTTTCTATAAATTTCTCTTCTTTCCCAACCATATCTGTCACCGATGTTTCATTTTAATCTGTTGTTGCTACATTGCTGTTGATTATTGCTTAATTTGGATTTTTTATTATTTTTTGCTTCGTCTTCTGTTCTTCTTAAGGTCACATTCAACAAAATAAATCTTCTGAAATTTGTGGATTAAGAGAAATTTTGAATGTCAAAGGTAGTTAAATGCACCCTCTTTGTAAATGATCTACGCAAAAATATCTTAATCATATAATTCCATTTTTAAAAGTTGAAAAGCAAGACCCCTCCTCATGGATGCCCTTCAGCTATGTACGTCTAGAATGTGGCACTGACCAGCTGTTCAAACTTGTTATCTCCCAATTCTTTATTTAAAGGAAGATGAAGGATTTTATTCCCCCATCAACACAATTTAGACTATATAGGAGACAGGCTCCAACCCTGCCCGTCAGGACCAACCCAGACTGAGAGGGATACAACACCCCAGCCAAACGACTGGGATGCTTGATAATTTACCTTCTCGGTAATCAAACTCAGACCTTCTGCGTGTCTCGGCAAAGTGCCTATCACTACATCAAAGACGCTGGTCAATTCTTGACACCCATTAAGAATCAAACCTTAGTTTACCTGGCCAGTTATGTTCCTGCGAGTCCTGATGCTGTTTCCTCTCTTTTTTTCTACCCTCTTAAACAAACTAATCCATCTTTTCTCAAGAGAATATTTTGAAGTTCGTAACCATGAACAGTGAGAGGCATGGTAATGAACAACAATGAAAGAAAAAGTAAACAAAGAACAATTGAATAAATTATAAACAGAGAACTATGAGAGAAACAATAAACAAAGAACATTCTGAGAAATTGTCAACATAGAACAATGCGATAAATGGAAAAGATAAAACATTCAAAGAAATAGTACAAAAAAACTTTGAGAGGAATGGTAAAGAAGAGACAATAAGAGAAATGGTCAACAAAGAACTTTGACAGAAATAGTAAACAAAAAAAAACAATGAGAGAAATGGTCAACAAAGAACTTTGACAGAAATAGTAAACAAAAAAACCAATGAGAGAAACGGTAAATCCCCAAAAAGCAAAGGAAGAACTGGTAAACAAAGGACGACAAGAGAAACAGTGAACAAGAAACAATGAGAGAAACGGTAAACACAGAATGTTAATAGAAATGGTAAACAAAAGGAAATTTGAGAGAAATAGTAAATGAAGATCATAAAAAGAAATGTATGGCTAACAACACACTGCCGGGACCTCACACGCTCTGGGAGCCCAGAGACTCTTTTTAAAATTTTTTTATAGTAGAGGGTTTTACGGCGCAACTGCATAAGGTCATATGAGCGCCAAGGGGTGGGTGTCAACAGAGAAGTCTTTACAGGGAATCAGACTTAGACTGCTCACCTCTCTAGCTTCAACAGCACAACGTCTGCTTCGACTATCAAGGCACCTTAAAATACCAGGTCGCAAGAGAGTGACAAACATACAAAAGAAGTAGAGGAAAATTACAATAGTAAGGATCAGGAAAGAAAAAGCAGCAGTTCCCTGTTGTAGATCAGGCACAGTTATGAGCGTGACATGAGTTAGCCCATTTACAATTCTACTATGCTTGAACGAGAAATGTCCCCCCTTTGGGAATGGCCTAAAGACACTACAGTCAGTGGCCCTGCCCCGGGGGATGCCAGAGACTCTTAAATGTATCTATTTCTATTTGTGATGTGGGTTAAAATAAATTTTTTTTATAGCAGTTTTCTCTTCCCTTTGCCACTGCAACATGCTGTGATTTGCTTGTTCTGCTGCATGCCAAGGGCTGTGTTCTTCATATTTGTTGACGTTATAATGTGGTGCTCAAATTTAAAATGTTTGCTTGAACATTGCTTTTATGCTAAGTTCCAATGCCCTGACCACTGCCATGGTATTAGGATTTTTTTCTTACAGCTGTTGGCTTTTAGTCTCTGGTCTGGGGTTGTTTTTTTTTTTGGGGGGGGAATATTGCCTCTTTTTTAAAAAGCTTTTTTAAAAAAAATATTTGCTAGCATTCTAGCCTGTTTGTGTTCTTTAAAGGCGAAGTTATACTGTCTGTTAGGAATACTGGGAATGACAGATTTTATGCCAGAGGGTTTCCACACACACACACATACACACACTTACACACATAGACACACACACGCACACTCACACACACACACGCGCACACACACACACACACAGATATATATATACACAATACACACATATATATTATGCACCTACTTGCAGCCAAAATTACTGTACTCCGGATGTGAAAGTTGTGATTCTACAGAATTTTCATGGAGACTTCTTCCTTTTAAACAAGCACCGGATCTGAAACAGTTATTCGTGATGTGTATCTGTGAATCTTTTGACTTCTATATTCCCAGTGAGATCAAAATATTCAATTCTTCTCAAGGGCTTTAAATGTCAAGACAAATTTCCAAAGATCTTCATTTGTCTCTTCGAAAATGTATTTTTTTTAAAAACAGGAGATGCATTACATATTTTTTTTTTACAGACACACATAAAATAAGAAAAACCAGCAGCCGAACTTGTCACTGAAAAAAAAAGTTGGATTTTTCATTTTCAAGTTTGTTGATGTTTACAAACAATGATGTCCATAAAAATGTGATCTATATATGATCTTTTTCAGCAGGATGTAAAAACGTTAAAAGGCCTTTTTTGCTTTATTTAGCTGTTCTGTTGGGTTGTCTATCATTGTTATTTGATTTATGCAGAGAAAGGAATCCCTACCCTATTCAGATGTACTTTTTACCTAATTCAGATATGTACGTTTTGCTTGTTGTTTGAAATATATCCATTAAATCTTTAGATCTGAATAGTGAACCCCCATCCCTTCTTCTTTCTTACAAAATATTTTAGGAGAATTGTTCATAAGGATGCTAGCACTTCTAATGCAACTCATAGGCTACTTTTTTCTCTCTATCTTCCAGCAAAACGAAGCAAGAGGACAGCGAAACAGGAGAGCCTAAGCCAGAGCTCCTTGACATGGAGGACAGTGATGAGGTACTGTGGTTTGGGGGGGAGGCAGGGGGTAGGGGGCACCTCTTTTGCTGTATAATTCAAGAGTATGCTGTTATTTTGGGAGAGAGAGAGAGAGAGAGAGAGAGAGAGAGAGAGAGAGAGAGAGAGAGAGAGAGAGAGAGAGAGAGAGAGAGAACCGATTATGAGGGAGCAAAAATCAGGTAATATTCATTTATTCATTTATCCATTCTACCTACACCTTAGACCACGCTTGTAATTCTTGTAATAGAAGCAACAAACCCCCCCCTAACCCCCCCCCCCCGCCCCCCACCCCAACCAAAAAACAAGTACAGTTGAACTTACTCGTCTACAATAACCATTGTACAAATGACAGCTCCCCACTTTCCTCCTTATGTTAAAAAAAATAAATTTGACAGTGACACTGTCCTGGACTTCCAGTTGTCAAAGACAGCCGCTTTTCTTCTCCACAATGGGTGAATTAATCAATGTATGGTTGGGAAAGTTCCTCTTTATGTGGTTGAACTGGTTTTCTTGTGACTGTGAAATGTTTTATCTTGTGTGAATGTAGTGTTACGTTCAGTGATCATGTCGTGATTGATGTTTAGGTGCTCAGAGCTTATACTTGCATGGGATAGAGCGCTATATGAATGCAATCTAATATTTGAATCTATTATTATTATTATTATTATTATTATTATTATCTGTCTCTAGGAGCTGGACTATTATTAATCTTCTTCTTGTTCTTCTCCTCCTCCTCCTCCTCCTCCTCCTCTAATAATAATAATAATAATTATTATTATTTTATCATTATCATTATTATCCGTCTCCAGGAACTGGACCTGTTCTTCACCGACCCACAACAGCTGCTGGACATTTTCGCGGAGCTGGAGGAGCAGAACTTGTCGCTGATCCAGAACAGCCAGGAGACGGAGGAGGCTTTAGAGGAGATGAAGCACACCATCAAACAGACCAAAGTCAAGATGTGAGTCTTTCGGGAGACTTCTGGTGCCTGAGCTTTGTCTTTGTTGTATTGTAACTGTTTTGTGTACCCTGATTTACCCTGTGTCTAATGTGCCACTTTTGTGACAGCAAAGTTAAAAGTTATTAATGTCAAAATGTTAAGAATATTTAACCCCAGGGTTGTATTCTTCACATTTTAGAATACTTCTAGTACGACGATCTCTTGGAAACTTTCAGTATTTCTAAAAAATCATTTTCACAGACTGCTATGCTATGTGTACGGATTGGATTCACTAGTAAATTTCCTCTTTGAAAGTGGTGGCACAAAGTTCCCTACGTCGTATGGATATGATAGCAAAACACAACCTATGGATAGGGTTAAAATATAGCTGTTTTTCTGCTCATCGACACAATGTAGACAAAGTCGAGGGTAAAATTTATAATTAATTAAAAAATACATACCTTACGAAATGCTGCCTTGATAGTTAGTGGTCTTATTCGTGCTCATGTTCTTAATGCCATGTGCATATTGCTGTTGACTGTGCTGTGATAGTATGAATGACTGCTTATGTGTTTACATTATTCTAAAGAGCAAATCAATGCATGTTAATTCACTTGTATTTTGTGTTGAGATGAAGATATTGTGTGGGTCGTTGGCGGGTGCTCTGGTGTGGTTTTTTCCGTCATTCCTATCAAACACCTATCGTCTTTATCTTCCCTCCTTCTTCTTTGCGTTTGTTACTTCCTTGTAATACCTGTAATCTTCGGCACTTATATGACCTTATTACGTTGCAAGTGCCTAAAAATTCTTATGAAAAAAAAGAAGGTATTGTAAAGTGTCTAGAGTTGTATTGTAGGACAGTGGGAAGTATAGAAAGTTTCTGCATGAATTATTGTGTAGGAAATGGACTTCAACCATGCCTGTCACGGCCCGGGACACAGCATCCCAGCTGAAAGGCAGAGATACTTGATTAAAATGTTCCTTACTCAGGAATTGAACCCAGGTCTCCTGCGTGTGATGAAGTGCCTGACTGTTACACGACAGACACTTGTGCAGAACTGTAATTACTGCTGACAATGATGATGCTGGATGAATTATTCTTTCTTTCTTTCTTTTATGCTTACAGGGAGAAGGAAACGAAGACGCTGAAAGAACAGATAGACAAACTACAGTCTCAGATACAGAGTGAGGAGGCAAAGGCAGCAGATCTAAAAATAAAAGCCAAGTGAGTACGGTATCTTTGTTTTCATGTAAAAATGTATTGCAAATCTTTGACCAGATTCTGAAAGTTGTGTCAAATAATCACCAGCAACAGTGTAATGGTTGTCAAATATACAAATTTCTGCTCATAGAAGATTATTGTTAATTTTATTTTTTTTCTTTCACACGAGCCAGATTTCCTTTTTACAACTTCTCGTTTTAAATGAAAGTTCCAACCATACAAAACTTTTGACACATTCCGCCACCCCCTTCCAAAGCTGTTTTTGTGTTTTAAAAAAAATTAAATCTTTTTAACTTTTAAAGGATGGAAAAGTGTTTTTGGGGGTTTGAGAGAACAAAAGCATGAAGGATGTTCTCTATGACAAGCAGAGTTTGAAGGCAGGGATAGAATTTTGAACTGCTTGCAGCTGTTGCTTTTCTTATGATATAAGTCGATGAGATAACATTCTGCTGTGCTGCTTTTTTCTTCTTCAAGGATGTTCAACTACGGAGAGTTCAAGGCAGATGATGATCAAGAGCAGCATTTATCAGAACTTAACAAGAAGGTGGAAGACGTCTACCGAAATTGTATAGGTGACAATGAAGCAAATATCAGGTGAGTAAGATAAAACAAACTGTGGAGGTTTGAATGTGTAATGTAAGTCCTCTTGTCTCTCTAGTCAAAGTACCTCATTGTTAAAGTCCAGGTTTTCTGATGAAGTGATTAGTGATTGGAATTTTATTTTTAAAAAATAGATCTTCTGTTTTCATCTGTCAATCATCCTCTTTACAGAACTTTTAGCTTTTTTTTTAACAGGAAAGGTTGCATCGTTGAAAGGTTTAGGAGTATCTACAATTATAATTAATTAAAAAGCTTGAGTTTGTGATGCAGAGAGGTAGCATCACTGAAAAGATGCAAGTTTCTCCCCCATCTTCAAAGTCACATGGTGGATGAATTAACCCGTGGTAGTTTTTGAAGAAGATCTCTTTTGTTATTAAAGTCTTAAATAACTCAAATATTGTTATCCTTATCTCAGAAGGGCTTACTTATTCTCTCCCTGTTCTGTACCATAAGGTGCACCAGGCAGAGAGAGGTTGACACCATGCTTGTCTGTCCCTGGCCACTTCTTCTTGCTTTGATACACCCAGGCCGTGGGTGATTGCTTCATCCCCGATCTGACACCTATAACTGCCAGTTGGCCTATCTGTTCTTCTTTCTCCATTTCATCTCCATACCATGTCTGATAGGACACTCTTGTCTGTCATTTTCAAAACATGTCTCAAATACCTCCATGTTCTATTTTTAATGAAAGAATAGTTTACATCATCAGGAAAAAAAGGATCAATATTTTATAGCTGTTGGAAGTTGTTATGGTATGATGAGTCTGTTGCCATCAAAGTTTGTAAGTGGATGGTTGGCGGGTGCTCTGGTGTGGTTCGCTCTTTCTTTCCTATCAAACAAATGTCGTCTTTATCTTTCCTCCTTTTTTTTGTCCCCTTTGTATGTTACTCTCTATAAACACCTCTTATATTTGGCACAGATTTCATCTATTTATATTGAAAGTGTCATGAAAATCATTCTAAAACTAAAGTAAAATAGTTGTTACATTTTAAAGAAATTAAATTATGTTGCTTCTTTCTGTTGACAGCACACTACAGATGCTGACCAACATTGAGAACAGGTTAGAAGAATTGTTTGAGATGATTGAAACTATGCCACAGGACAAGGTGGAGGCCGCAGAAAAGGTGACAGCGTTGTTGTTGTTGTTGTCATTGTTGTTGTCTTTGTTGTTGTTGCTGTTGTTGTTGTTGTTGTTGTTATTGTTTATTGTCTTTGTTGTTGTTGTTGTTGTTGTTCTTTATTGTCTTTGTTGTTGCTGTTGTCTTGATGTTGTTGTTGTTGTTGTTGTTGTTATTGTTTTGTTTTTGTTGTTATTTTTGCTACTCTTTATGTCATGAGTCCAGTGGCTCATAAATATTCTCCCTTTAGTGCAGTTCAGTGTTGTGGTATGTTCAGCTTTGCTACTGCAATGGACGATACAATTTTTCTGATGCTGTATGTGGTTGTCATAGCACCTCTTCTTTCTTTCTTTTTCATGGATGGTTGGAGGGCACCATTGGCAGGTCCTACTTCTTTGCTTTCCTTCTGTTGTTTCTGCCTGTCTATTTGACCTTTACCCTGCAATAAAGGACTCTTGTTATGTTGGTGTGCTTTTTTTCACTCAAACCCAAATGTGCGGGGTGGTTGGCGGGTGCTCTGGTGTGGTTTGCTCCTTCTTTCCTATCAAACATCTATCGTCCTTATCTATCCTCCTTCTTTTTTGTGTTTGTTACTCTCTCGTAACACCTCTAATCTTTGGCACTTATATGACGTTATTGTGTTGCAAGTGCCGTAAAACTCTTACTAAAACTAAAAAACTCAAATGTCTTGTAGGCGGTTTCCGGATGTTCTGAAGAGGTTTACCTCCTTCTTTCCTATCAAACATCTATTGTCCATATCTGTCCTTCTTTAATTTGTATGATACTGTCTAGAAACACCTAATTAAAGTCTGGCGCTCATATGACCTATTTGTGTTGCTTATGCCATAGAACTCTTACTTATGCAGTCAATACTGCTCTAACGGGCACCTGTCCAAGATAATCACTTGTACAAAAAACACTTCTTACTCCCCCCCCCCCCCCCTGTCTTACTTTTTCCCAGCACTTAATGGCTGCTATTGGTTCGATGTGCTCTCTTTACTCAAACAAATGAACAAATGACACCGTCTAAGATGTCCCCTGTCTGAGACTACTACTTTTCTCCTTAACAATGGGAAGCCTTCTTGGACAATTTTGACAGCACAAAATCAAACTCTTTCTTTTTCATTCCTTTTCCAGGCCAAAGACAAGGAGAGGAGGTTGAAGATGAGGGAGGAGAAGATGGAGCAGCTGAGGATTCACCAGGAGGAGCGGGTGAGGCGAGCACTGGAGAGAGCAAAGGCAGAGCCCAAGAAACAGGTGAGGAAATCTCTTCTCTGTCCATCTCACTGAGGCCAGGAGGCTGTCATTTAATGATTGGTAGGATTATGCAAGTAAAGAAAAGAAGAGCTGAGCTAATTTTTTGAAAATCAGAGAGGAAAATGATAAATTACTCTTTTGTATGGTAGAACATACGCACACAAAAACACCCACACAAATAGACTGGCACGCAAATGTGTGTACATGCACACACACACACACCCACACACACATGCACACACACACACACACACCCACCCTCAAACACACACGCACTCATACACACAGAAGCTACCACTGACACCTTCGCGCATTCTATCAAAAATACACATTCTTTGACACTCACACTTATACGCTTAATCACACAAACACACATGTTAAAATATGAGCACAAGCATGCCCTTGAAAGTAGAGATAGAGAGAGAGAGGGGGGGGGGGGAAGAAACAAAGAGCTCAGTGGAGAGAGAGCAAGAGTCTTTATAGAATAGTTGCCCTTCGCTGGAGGGTGCCACAGACACCAAACTTTACCCATGGGTCAAATAAAATTTTGTCATAATTTCCCTTTCAGACGGGCAAGAGACTGGTGTTCAGGTCCAAGCCCCCAGAGCTCAAGAAGAAGGAGGATGAGGGAGCAGACCAAGCCAGCAGGGAGGAGGAGGAGCTGCAGTATTATTTCGCCTGGTAACCTACGCCATCGTGCCTACCACCGCCATAGACGTTTGTGTAGCCTCCTACGCCATCACCATTACCGCCGTCTTAGATGCTCGTATTTTCTGGGAGTAGCCTGCGGATGAATAAAAAAGAAATAGATACAGATTATCTCAGCAAGTCCACTTGTTAAACCCAAGGGATTAGATATGGTCTAGAAGGTGGATTACTACAGATTTCTCAACATTGTAAATGTGCTTTGCTACTTAAATATTCGTGAGTTAGCTTGACAAAAATCTTTTGATTATGAGCCGAACTCTAATCGTTTTTTTTTCCTGAACTTTGTCAATAATGATATTTTCACAGAGGATTGAAATGTGGAAGTGTAGTTCTCTTGGTTTAAAAGTTGAGGAAAAGACAGTGAATACTGTACTTACATGATCGGAGAACTGCACTGTAGCTTAGCACATTACCAGTCTTTAGTCACAGTGCAAAGACTTGAACTCATGCCTTGTGGTATTGGTCCATGACATGTTCAAGATTTATCAAAGAACCCGAATCTTTCTCTCGTGTAGTTGGAGCCCACCAAAACACTCACACTTCACATGTCTCTACACAAAGCTTATGTTTTAATTCTTTCCCATTTCCCGAATACTAACCCCACTGGGTCTTCGGATAACAGATGTACAGGAGTGAGATGAACAGCTTTTGTCCTTTGTAAATTTTTACACTTTGATTATACACCTTTCTGTTTACGCTGAAATTTATGAGATCATTTACCTATAAGTTTGAGACTTGTCCAAATTCTGGAAAGTTTCATAGAGGCATGCTGGTTTTTATTCTTCATAAGACTTATACCTAGTAGGTTTACTAAATAAACAGTGTACAATTTTGGTGAAAACTGTCTTTGTTGTTTCTGTCAAAAATTATTTGTCTTTGAAGTGTTTGAAATAAGCGTTTCATTTCTGAAATTAAAGTTGAAACAAATTATCTTTAAGCTTCAAATTTTGATGTTGGTAAGGAAGGTTTTGTCGTACATGAATATATGCAAACATTGCTTAGATAGTGTCCGTGGCACCATCTAACCACCTGCTCTATAACTTTTCAGTTTTTGCAGAGAGATTGACCTAGAATTCTGCTCAGTCGGCTGATCTGGGTTGGTCTATTTTTTGGTTTGTTTTTGGCTATTTTTCCTCTGAGATCAACGAGCCCCATTTTCACAATAGAGCGAGCACAGGTTTTATGGTTTTTAAAATTTTTATATAGGTATTGTTACATTGTCACAATTTAGATCATTTAGTACAGGTGGTGGGCATCGACCGTGCCTGTCAGGGCCTACCCTGGCTGAGAGGGATACAACATCCCAGCAGAAAGGCTCATATACTTTATAAAAATCCTCCCTACTTGGGAAATAAACTCTGGTCGCCTGTGTGCAACAGTGAAGCACCTAATAGCTACACTAAAGATGCCTTTGTGCCCAGGCTTCCGAATTCGACTTTAGCAAATTGTAACAGTATCAGTAAATGTGTTATGCCAACATCAACATAATCTGGTTCATTGGAGCAGAAATCAGGACTGGGCGCGCATTGAGTGATCTATTGCGACCCTAACATGAGGACAATGGCTTTATATCTTTGGAACTTAACCAGATCCGTTAGGATACACAACACCCACGTTGCCTGACAAGTGTGACTGCCAGGATAAAACAGTCCCACCACCTCCCCTTTGTTTTTGGTAAGTGTTTTAAGACGCTCGCAACTGCATAAGGTCAAATGAACGTGCGGAACACATTAAACATTTTCAGTTGATAGGAAATTTTGAATTTTGCCCGTTGTGTGTAACTGCTGTTGCCTCAGAACTATTAATGTCCAAAGTCACTCTTTATTAATGTACACTTAAGAACTATTTTGTCCAAAGTCACTCTTTATTAATGTACACTTAAGAACTATTTTGTCCAAAGTCACTCTTTATTAATGTACTCTTCAGAACTATTTTGTCCGAAGTCACTCTTTATTAATGTACACTTCAGAACTATTTTGTCCAAAGTCACTCTTTATTAATGTACACTTAAGAACTATTTTGTCCAAAGTCACTCTTTATTAATGTACACTTAAGAACTATTTTGTCCAAAGTCACTCTTTATTAATGTACACTTAAGAACTATTTTGTCCAAAGTCACTCTTTATTAATGTACACTTCAGAACTATTTTGTCCAAAGTCACTCTTTATTAATGTACACTTCAGAACTATTTTGTCCAAAGTCACTCTTTATTAATGTACACTTCAGAACTATTTTGTTCAAAGTCACTCTGGGTGGTCGGCGGGTGCTCTGGTGTGGTTCGCTTCTTCTTTCCTATTAAACATCTATCGTCCTTATCTTTCCTCCTTCTTTTTTGTGTTTGTGTACTCTCTTGTAACACCTCTAATCTTCGGCACTTATATGACCTTATTGTGTTGCAAGTGCTGCAAAACACTAACTAAAACAAACAAAGTCACTCTTTATTTAAGTACACTTTGGACAAAATAGTTCAGAGGCGATGACGTATAGGTGTGAACATATGGTTGGGTGCATGTGTGTCTGTGTGTGTACATGTGTCTATGTGAGTGTGCGTGTGTACATGTGTCTATGTGAGTGTGCGTGTGTACATGTGTTCTGACATATAAAACAAAGAAGATATTGTTAAGTCAGAAACAGAGTGACAATAAAAGCAGGAAAATGTAGAAAGTGCAGACCACATCAGCGTGCCAACCAACCATGTGGAACCAAAAATGATAATATTAAAGATACAAGAAATTTCTAATAGAGATAATAACAAAGATACAACAAGCTTGATATATAGCATATAGTTTCTTTATTGACTTGTGTGATTTATAATGTAAATGATTATATACAAGACCTATACAAATATGGTTAAAATAATGAGGGGAGATAAGTCTGGGCATTTGGTATGCACAATCCAACTGGACATATCTTGTGACAATGTACTCACATGGGCATACACACATGCACACGCACACACAAAAACTGACATGCACACACACATTCATAAACGCACACATATACACACACGCACACACAAAGGCATTGTATAATCTCAGGCATACACACACATTAAATAGTGATCAGTATTTGGTAACAAATAAGGCTACAAACATGTGTGTCTCACGTTTACAACCCCCCCCCAAAAAAAAACAACAACAACCCAACAACAACAACAAAACAACAACATGGCAAAAATAAAACATGTTGCATCATCAGTCAAACACATTTTTGATTATTAAATAGTCAACCACCGGAATTGTATTCTTTCTGGCATCCATCTTCACAACAGAGTCCCGACACAATGTGGTCCACGACCTCACACCCTTAAGCCAAAACCACCAGCACGACCAACAAAACTTTCTGCAACGGCAACACAAGACAGAACACACCTAGTCCATCCACCACAACACACAAGACTGTTTGTCAACACAACACAGCCTTTGTCAAATTAGAAAAAAATAAAAGGCATTAAAACAAATTACTTTACAAGTTTAAAATATAAAATTTTCAGATTTAAAATTTAAATTAAAAAACAAAACAAAAACAAACCAATTGATGAGAGCATCAACCGAAGACAGACATGCGTTTTGCAAAGCATCTGTTCAGCTTGAAACCTTGTTTTTGGAGAACAAATGAAGACTGTAATGGAGGACAAAATTTTTGTCAGTACCACTTCATTTTTTAACCCCCCCCCCCCCCCCCCCCGGACCAAATAGCAAAGGTAAAAGAAAACAGTAGATGAAGTGACTGTTAACACAATGGCTGAATCCTGAAGTGTAAGTTTAAGTAGATGATTTACGATTGGCACTTACTTAGTACCGTACATTACCAAATCCAAATGACACTGCTAAAATAAAACGGAAATAATATATAAGAGAAGAATAAGCAAAAGTTCTACGACAACATGACAAAATCAATGGCAAAAGACTGAAACAACTATAAAGCAACACCATCTATAGTTGCAGACACATTCTAAAACCATGACCAGTTAAGATCTTTTACAATAAAAATCTCTTTTTAAACTGTATATTTCCGACTTTGCAAGCATTGTTAAACACACATATCTCTTTAAACATGTATTTTAGTGTTTAAACATGTATGAAATCAGCCCGATTTTTTTCCCCAAAGAGACTATACAATCTCCATAAACTCATACTTGTATATTCAAAAATGGTCAGATAATAACGTTGTTCCACTCACTCACTAACAACTGTTTCTTTCAAAAGGGTCAAAACATTTCCAAAAAATAGTCATCCCTACCGCCTCCCCTAATAGATATTTCAACACATCTTTCTAGATATTTCAACACATCTTCTGGAGGCAAAAACTAAAATGTTTCCCAGTAGGCTTAACGAAAATTCAGAGGCAAATCTAAATATACGAGACAAGAGTGGACTTGGCTTGGCATGACTTGGCACTTGAAGGTTCATTACATACAGTACCATATAGATAAAGGCATACCTCTGTACATATTCATACAAACAACACATTCTTTAGCACACAAATACACAAACAGACACACCCATACATATCAGGACACGTCAGTATGTACACACTATCAAATTTCTCTAGACACACAAACACCCATACACCCTTGTGCTCGCTCACACTCACACAACTTCTCCCCACATTTCTGCCTCACATATAGTCCCACCCACAGGCTGATCAAGATAACCAAGAAAAATGAAATACAATCCGAGTTCTCTTCTAATACTGTAGAACCGTATAGGAAATGTACAGTTACAAAAGGAAGATAAAAGTCATTTGTTCGTAGGTTTACAAAAGAAAAGTATCAATGATAAAAAAAGGATGCATGCACACGAGAAACAAAAAGGGTTTTCTTAAAGAAAAAAAATTGAAGAAAAACAAAAAACAAAAAAAACAAACAAAACCAACAAAGAATAGTGAGAATCATTGTGAAAAAGAAAGGCACTTCAAGTAGGAAAACTAAATACCAGAGACTTATTCTCCACAGTATGCTGTAGTAAAAACCATAATTCTCTTATCCATAGGTTGTAATTTTTTTCATAATCACCCCCCTGCCCCACCCACATTCAAACACATGCACAAAACAAACACATAATTGAACCTTAAACAAAACCCAGTGAAAATCATACACCCCTTAGGTCACTGGAAATTTAAGCCCCCCCGCCCCCCCCCCTCCCTTAAAAAATCCAACCAACAAAGAGGGTACGCGAATAAATATATTGGTGGGGGTAGGGGTTGTTTATGAAGAAGTGCACGTTTGCTTCATTCATCGTCTTGACCACGGCGTGCGACAGCAAAATGTGTTCTATTACAGCCAGTGACAACCATGACAGGGCGCTGTGATATGTACAGGAGGGGCTCAGCTCAGGTCAAAAGTCATCCTAATCAACTAACAAGATGTCACCTAAATGACTGCAAAAACTGGTTGAGTTCCACTTTTTGTCATCATCTCTGTATCTTTGTAGTGTTTTTCTTTAAGTAGGTGTTTTCAGCATCCCCATCCATACAATTAAGATCATGTCATTTCTGTAAAGGATTTAATAAATACCAGAATAAAAAATCAGGGAAATTGGTGGATAAAGTCACAAACGACAACAAGATCAAGTTGCTGTTTTTCAAAGACGACTATTTTGAGAGAAAGAGACGTCAAAGTTTGAACGATATTACCTTCGCTGACCCCAAGAACACTGGTGTACTGCTCCTCAATAAATTGGTCCAAGGCAAGAAAGGCATTGAATAGTTGAAATATTTGCAGTTATCTTTCACACTGAAAGAAAACTGAAGGGTAGAATTCAAGTAAAAACTCTTTACTGAACTACCAATTATTGGGTAAATCTATTTATTCCAAGCTCCAGCAAGAAATAGCCCTGTATGCTTTTTGAGCCTCCTTTTGAGCTCCGGTGGGGACGAAAACTTTTTGTGGAGAAAATATCAGCCTGAACTACTATGAGAGGTTGTTTTTTTCACGAGCTGCTTTGTTGAATTCAATTGTGCTTCACCGTAAGTCACCATGACAACGGTCACATCTCTCCAGGACTAGTTCAGGGGATAGAAACACTGAAAAGGAGAGGAAGAGGCAGACCATACAAGAGAGTTCACTGAGCATCTATGTTTACGAGTGATCCTTTGTATGCGAGAGATACACCAACAAAGAGAGGCACAGAACATGCATAAGAGTGGCTGTGAACTACAGAGATAGAAGGAATTACGTTTTTGCACTAGTGAAAGGTCATAAGTCATTGAATCACAAATATAGGCCTCAAGAAGAGGAGAATGGTATACTATGATTAAGAAGAAGCATGTTTGGTGTCTGTGTAATGTTTAGGGTCTTTTTTTATTGTGGACGGGGAAGAATGAGAGAAATAGAATGTTCAGTATGGCCATAATGTGATAGGGAGGACAGACGATATGATTTTCTTAAAAGTCGAAAGGTTCAATTTGCGTCCCAGACGTTATTCAGACCAAAACCCCATAGGTAAACAAACAATTGTATAAGACCCTTGACCTTATAATAATGATAATTGCATTTATTTAGCGCATTTCCACACTCTACAGCATGATTTCTGCGCATAACAACTATTTCTACCTTGTGTGACAACATGACAGGACTTCCAGCTTCAATCACTCACATCGTGAACACACTACAAAAATTGGCAGCAAACGTCCAGCTAACAGCCGCTTGAGTAAGAAAAAGCTTGCCAAGCTATCACAGAGGCTGCCCACATACCACGGGCAGCAGGAGACCAAAAAAAAAAAAGCAGCAAAGAATTCTTGTACCAAATACTACACATCATAGTAATGTAAAAAAGTATGTCAAGCATTTACAGCCGCATCATAAGACACAAATTATTACTTTCTGGGCTCGACCGGTCCAGTCTCCAACAATTGTTGATCTGCATAGCTTTAAGTTGTGTATTTGTATTCGTGCGTGTATAAACAGTGCTGTGTGACTCGGACGGTCCACCCAAAAAATGCATTGACGAGACACAAAGTGGGAGCTCTCTGCAGGAGGAAGCTCAGCTCCACAAAGACAGATACCATGAAGGAACTTTCTACGTTCATCTCTGAGAATAGATAGGGGTTGGTTGCAATAAAATAGACAGGGTTGGGCACAATGTTGCAGAGTCCAGAAACGCTCATTTCAACATCACAAGAAGGGTTGCGTAAAAGCCTCATCGCATGAAATTCACATTGGACATTTCGGGCACAAAATCTTTCTTTCACATGCACACCCAAGCACGTACGCACAGACTGCACATGCTCGTGAGCCCAAACACACAAACACAGACTGAGAGACTAACAAACCACATCTTGCCTGAAACATACAACATAAATTTCTTGTGTAGAGGCTTCTCTACTATCTTGAGATTTTCTCATCCAGCCTCTAATAATTTCAACAGTTTATTCTTGTTTCAACAGAAAAGAAAGATTTGGTTCTATTTATGGGCAAAGAGGATCACCTGCTATTAATTAATGGCCCATTTGGATATACATGTAGGTGGACGATTTGAGAATTTCAACCTCCAAAAGGTGCCAAATAGGTGTTAGATATAAAAAAGTTGACATGCCCTCGTCTACGATAAAACTACCTGCTCTAAAAGACCCACACTTTCCTCCTCTACAATGGGCGGCTGTCTTAGACATTTTTTGCAGTATTTATTCATAAATAGATTTAGAATTCTAAAAAACCGAAGTAAATGTCAGACTTGATCAGTTAGTGCCCAATACCATCACCTTATCAACCTGGGACCTCTTTCTCCATACAACTACAACATTTCAAGTGAAAAAATACAATAAGGTCAACTGTACATTATTAAAAGCAACAAAAACTGTGACTCGCATCTTCATAAAATCACAATGTTCACGAGATGATGTGTACAGACTTGTTCAATCTCTCCACCACAACCAAAGCCTTTATGAAAAACGTCAATTAGTTCTTTAACAATTTCTTTCCCACTGTACTTTCTCTCTTTCATCCCATTCCCTTCAAAAAGAAGTTTTGTGGATATTCTTTTGAATCTTTCTTCATCATGATCAAGGAGAAATAGCTCAAAGATAAAAACAAATGCAGGAACCACTTGGAATTAAGTAACGTCATAGACTCATTAGTTTGGAATGACTGTATTTAAAACAGGAAAAAAAACTACCAGTGTCAATACATTGAGAGAAAAATAAACACATGCGAGGCGAGTAAGTTACTGCAAGACCTGAAGCACGGGGACCCATAATTAAAGGAGGGGGGGGGGGGAGGCATTCGGAGTACTAGGCATGGACTAACCAAATGTCGTTCCCTAGATAAATGTAGATATTTTAAGTCCCCATCGACACAATTTAGACAATTTACAATTCTCTCAAAATAGAAAGCTATTTTACTTTCAAATTCTATCACAACATAATCTTTATGTCTTCAAAATAAGCAGCTCCAAAAGCTCACCTATCCGAGAAATGTGCGGATGGAGTGAATAACCACTTCTAACAGACTGTACACATCATTCTGAATTTTGGGCACAGAACCAAACAATAAACCACATCCACCTGTGCTGCTGGCAAGGAGAAATATTTTCCCACAAAAACAAAACAAGACTCAAGCTCACAACAGTACTCATAACAAAACTATCTGCGTAAGTCTACATACGTATGACCTCAATCCAACGTCAAGGTCACGAGTAGGACAACATTTTTCAGCGAGGTCATTGTGACCAATCACACGTCAGGCTGCTGAGAAAATTCCTGAGTCTAAAATACCATACCCATCATCATAGAATTGTTCAAATTCAGTTTATAAACAACAACAGACAATGTTCATTATAACACAGTGACAATCTACAAGGGGGAAATAAAATTAAACTAGTGTTCTCTGCACAAAACTTTCACTGTCACAGTCGATAAAATTATGTATAGTCGGGAATATGAAGCAGAGAAAAAATGTACAAACTTTACAAAGCAGAGACAGTCAGACACACTAGGAATATCGCCAACTCTGCATTTGCCGCACACAAGTTTTTGTACACTTTCGGTGGGTCTACAGGGTATACGGGACAGACGATGACTTGGCACATGCAAACCTCGACCACGCACTGCCTGTCATTTCTTGACTCTCCTGACCAACCAAACACATGTACACAAGGGTTATACAGTCGAACCTGCTCTAAGAGACAAACGCTTTCCACCTCAACATTGGGCAGTTGTCTTAGACATTTTCTACAGTATTTATTTAAAAATCCAGTCCGAAGAGAAAGACCCAATATTTCCTTTATTACAGTTTGTTTCTCTTAAGGTCAAAGGTCTATGATACTGGTACAGGCTTGTAGTGCACCTGTCCACCTGACAATGGCTACAAGTCATTAGAAAAAGAAAAGGACAATGGAGACACTGACAGAAGAGGAAGCAATAGAACACATCAGAGCATTTACCAACCACCCACTCAATATTGAAACAGCAATTGCTGGTAAAAGGCCACCCCAATACCCCCAAAAGTATAAAGCATTTAATAAAGGCTCAACAGACATTAAGGAAGAACTTTTATGGAAATCCGCTGATCTGCCAGTATCATTTGATCATTGAAGAGTCAATCAGCCCTGACCACCCCAATGTTCCACATAAAGTGAGCGATCAAGCAAATATTTTTTTCTCATTCCCAAAAATTACTTTCGGCCCTTATAATTTTGTGGTCAAATTTTGCCAGACTGTGAACCATGAACGACTTGAAACATTTTCTTTTCGCCTTTGACATCAAGATAAAAAAACCCCACCTTTTAGAATAAACACATCTTTTCTCACAACCAAATCTGTAAGTAGAGTGACAAAGGACACATCACTAACAAAGGTAAAAAATGTGGAAATTTCTCCATGTGGTCTTATATATTCACTGATAATGTCACAACTGTTGAACATGAGAACGTGTGAACCTTCCACAGGAGATTGTAAAACAAGAAATGTAATTCCACAGAAAAATTATAATTATTTAGGAAGAAGGTTGCTCCGAAAGCTAATCAAGGCTGACAGGGACACAACATTACTGCAGATAAACTGACAGACTGGATTTAAAATATCTTCCCATTTGCGACTCAAACTCGCTTCCATCAGAGGGGATTAACAAAAAAAAGCACTTTTATTTTACCAACCGAAAACTGCATAGAGCGCATCTGCACAGAAGTACAACAATACAGCAGAGATTTACTTTGCTTGGATACTAATTTCAACATCACCTCTACTTGCCTCATCTTTTTGGTCTAAAAATAGAGCCTCTCTACCGTCGCCAGAAAAATCAACATCATCAATAGGAGACATCTATTACAAATAAATAAATAAAATAAGAAGAAACAAAAAGAGAACAAGGACAGTTTGCACAAGGACTATAAGTAAAATGATCAGTAACTGTAAAAGATCTCGATTCACACCAAATTGCTGGTAGATCCCCTTGGTAATGCTGTTTTGCCTCCACCGCACTTTCACAACCTCTTATAAATAAACGAAATAGAGAGGCAGACTGAAATGAACAGTTCATCAACCAAGGAACAAGATAAACAGTTTTTAAAAAAAGCAATGTATTCTGTAAAGTTCGGCTGGGGGACCCAAATTCCCACTGAAATACATCTTCAACAGAAGCAAATATATTAAATTTCAGTAAATGTATTTCTGTAAACTTTTTGTTCAATGACACTGAAGGAATGCAGGGGCAGTCAGAGATAAGGACAAAGATGTGCGAGTTGGGTTGTGTGGTAAAATGTGGGAGTGAGTGTGCGTCACTTTATGTGTGTTCTCAAGTACGTTTGTATACATGACTGTATGTGTAGTATGTCCTGGAGCATGTGTGCGTTTGCTTCAAAGTGTGTGAGTGTGTGTGTGTGTGTGCATGAGAGTGTCAGTAAAACAATGTGCATGTGCATGATAAAACTGTGGGTACACTTGTTTGTACTAGAGTCTACCTGTGCACTACAAACTGAGTCACAGACTAGGCAGAGAGACTGCACAAGGCACTGTTTACATTACATTCAAGGACAACAAGGATTTATCTACAGACGGGAACACCAACAAAGAACATATACACATTCATTTGCACGGACAAATGGAACTCTTTGAATACCATTCAAAAGCGCTTGCTCACACAAAAACGTGTCGAAATACACTCTCCCCCACAAAAAAAATTGGCTTACACACACACACACACACCCAACCACCCAAACACACACTCTTCTACACACACACGCACCCTCACACATACAGTTCTTACAGCATGTACTAACTGTCCTATTCCACATATATAACATATTCCTAAGCTACAGCAGCCCTTCAGTAGTTGTTGAACCTCAGCTGCTGCTGCGGAGGAGGGGGAGGCATGGACGACGACAACGACGATGATGCTGCTGGTGGCGGTGGCGGGGGAGGGTAGTTGCTGAAGTAGTCGTCGTTCTGCAGCTCTGGTGGTGGTGGGGGCAGCGACTGCTGCTGTTGTTGCTGCTGCAGCTGTCGTCTGGCCATGTGCGGTGAACTGTGACTGATGGGACCGTTGGGCACAGCTGGGATGTTGGGAGGGAATAGGCTGCCGGGGGACAGGCCAGTGGGGGAGGACGGGGGACCCTCTGGGGAACACACAGACAATGGTGGATGTGAAGGGGGAGGAAAGAATAAATGAAGAAGAAATAAGTTTGCAAGAAAAAAGACGAGCTGTACTAAAAAGAATGAGGGAAAACAGAGAAAACAGATTTGTAGGGGGAAGGAAGGAAGATAGTAGGAAGTAAAAAAAGAGGAATTGTGCTAGGAAGAATGAGGGAACACAGAGACAACACAACGGATGTGAAGGGGGGAAAGAAGAAAGATAATAAAAAAGAAAAAAAGAGGAATTGTACGAGGACGAATGAGGGAAAACACAGACAACGGATATGTAGGTGGAGAAAGGAAACAATAAATGAAGAAGAAATAAGTTTGCAAGAAAAAAGAGGAGCTGTACTTAAAAGATAGAGGGAATGCACGGACAACGGATATGAAGGGGGAGAAAGGAAGATGATAAATAAAGAAAGAAAAAAATTGGGAGAAAAAGACAGGAATTGTACAAGGAAGAATGAGGGAACGCACACACACAATGGGTGTGAAGGGGGAGGAAGGAAAACGATAAAGGAATAAAATATAGGGAGAAAAAAAGAAGAACTTTACTAGGAAGAACAAGGGAACACAGAGACAAGGGTGTAGAAAAGAGGGAAAATAATAAAATAAACACAGAAGAAATGATAAATTTGGAAGAACAAAAGAGGAGTTGTACTAGGGAGAATGAGGGAGCGCATTGACAACAGATATGAAAGGGAGGAAGGAAAACAATATATGAAGAAGGAATGATGAGTTTGAGAGAAAAAAGAGGAGTTGTCATTGGAAGAATGAAGGAATGCAACAGCAATGAATATGAAAGGCGGAAGGAACACAATAAAGGAAGAAGGAATGATAAGTTTGGAAGAAAAAAGAGGTGTTGCGAGAGGAGGAAAGATGAAAAGCAAAGTCACCAACAGCATTTTGTTACAGCTTTATTGTCTTTAACTCTCTATGGATTTTAGTTTTAAAAAGTTGATCAAAGGCACAAAAGAAGTAAGATCCTGTCACCCATCTGTTCAAGTTCAGGAAGTTAGTTATTCTTAGTACATTTCTGCCTCTACCACCTTCTATTTGTGAGGCAGCGTGATGAAATCGGGGGCTCCTCAAAATAATGAAAGTGGAGAAACTGGCATTTTCCCACAGGTTTGGAAATTCTTATTGAATTTTTACCTTTTGGCTCAACACTTTTCATGTCCATTAAGGAACACACTTCTGCGTGGATTTTACCAAAAAAATGATTAAATGTAAAAATTTTTACATTTTCTGTTTCTACAGACTCTAAAGCTAAGGAAATAACTAAAATTTGGCGGCCATTTTCTCGCTAATTTTACCTCTGAAACCAAGCAACCCCACCTCCTTCAAACAACCAATATCTTGACCGGTACCAAAGATAAACGGATATTTTTTTGGGGATCAAAAGCAAGGCAAATGGACAGGCCTAATGATGATACCAATAACTCCATATGCCCTAAAACTGACCAGCCCCTGATTACACCACATCGTGACACATTAATTGTCCAGTGAGAGCAAACACTGGCAGCCCAACTCACCAAAAATGGGCGGTGGTTTGTTGGTCCTCCTCATGAGCAGCCTGACGGACGGTCCCCCGTTCTGAATGATCTCGATGGCCTCTGTGTGCGTCATGCTGTCCGTGTTGAAAGAGTTGATCTCTAGAATCTGGTCCCCGACACGCAGCCGTCCATCCATGTCCGCTGCCCCACCGTCTGCGATGCGCAGCACAAACAGAGGCATGGAGTTGAACTCGCGTCCTCCGCGGATGGAAAAGCCGAAGCCCCGAGAGCCGCGGTGAAGTTCCACTTGGTAGATCTCCCCGCTGTCGTCAGAGCCCTGTCACGAGAGAAAGAGAGAGATATGGTTGTAATGGAAACATTGGGTCTTTTCTTTTCCTTTCTCTGCTTCTATAGTAACTGGTTTACACCCGAATTAACATCATTTATTAGATCACTTATGAAGCCAGCCGCTTCAACCTGCTTGTGAGGTGAGGGACACTTGAGGGGGGGTGTAAGTTGGCACATCATCCATAATAAAGATTGAACAGTGCAGATTTTCTTTTGAAAAATATGTCAAACCCATGAGTATTTTCGTGTATTTGGACACAAATATTGTCTTTCGCACTCAATAACTTGCTTGACACTCATTGTTTTAATCTTCACAACATCTAAAAACCAACAATATAAGAAACCACCTTACCTGGTTGCTAGGTGCTCTGGGTCTGCCCAAACCACCGGCCATGCCTGGCTGATTTCTGAAATAAATTAACAGGGGCAAATGAGAGCTCAAAACAAAATATGTACCACCTTTCAATTACAGTAAGCAAGTAACAAGTTTCAGCATTACATTCAATAGTAGAGAAAAACTAAATTATATCATATCAGGATGGGATAGGCACTATACTACTGCCATCTAATATCAGTATTATAATTATTATAATTATTATTTGTACAGTTTTTGACAGCATCGTTCAAGAAACCTCAAGCCCCTTATTTTCAACTCTACCCAAACTTCCACAAGTTCTGAAAAGGACATTAATAGAGCCTGAATAGGATTTGAGCACAAACCTTTCCCAAGAGAGAATGTTTCCCGACACATCTGGTCTGTCTCCTGCTGATCCTTGAGAGCTCTGACGGAAGAAAAATCAGTGCAAAAACTGAGTAAAATAATCATGAAATTTGAATGTTAAGATTTCATCGAAACGTTTTTGATCATTTTGAAAATGATCCAAAATGAAAAAGCATTCCCAATAGTATAAAAAAGGTCTCTGCTTATTGACAGATTGATCAAGGTGACCTGAAATCACAGTGTAATGTGGAAAATCTGATTCTTCTCTCAAATAAATAATTATTCATCAAAAATGACGGTAAAAACATTGTTATACTCAAGAGAGTAACAGTCATGTTGCTTCACTTTTCTTTCACCATTTGTCTTCCAAATTTCAAACTGTACAAAGGTAAAGCATCATCAGAGTTCGAATTAAAGAGAAGAGTTAAGATGCTCAGAAAAATTAAAGCAAGCGTTTTGAAAAGGAAGATTTGTACATACCCGTTGGGATGTTGTGCTTGAATTGTCATCTGAAAGAATAAATAACAAGAAAGTAGAACTATGTTAGTATTTCAAGGCATTACAAATTAAAACAAAAGTCAACCATTTGAGAACTCTAAAAATATATGAAAAACATACTGATATAATCTAGACGATAAAGTGAGATACAAATTATACAGACACAAAAATATACAAACAGACTGAGAGCCTTCAGCTTAGAGAGAGAGAGACAGACAGACAGAGATATAGATAGATAAACAGATAAAGAGACAGAGAAAGAGAGACACGAAGCCAGACAGACAAAAAGAGGCAGAGGCAGGAAGAGATAGATACATAAACTCATACAGAGAGGGACAATCACACATACGGTACGCACTCACACATACTGAGAGAGAGACACAGAGAGAGAGAGAGAGAGAGGGAGGGAGAAAGAGAGAGAGAGAGAGAGAGAGAGAGA